AGAAAGTAAGTGTCGAGTGCGGAGATTTGCTCTCGCGCACCATGCCCGCCGCGTGCTTTGCACGAAAAAACTCGTCAATGACGTCACAGTGTTCTTTAAGTAAAGGCCACTGCCGTGTTATGCAGTATTTGGTGCCAGGAACCAAGTCAGTTTCATGACGTACATTTCTAGTGGGAGGTAGAACAGACGGTGGGTCATGGCACACCACATCCTAAGATTCCTTAACTAAAGGATAGTAGGGATCTGAAGGGTTCTTCAGAATAGATGCTCCACTACGTGCACTAAGTGCCGCCTTGGTATCTTCAAGGACTGTATCATCGACAAGCGAGGATGAGTTCAGCTCGAGGTTAGGTCGAATAACCACCATATCGGATAGAGCACCTGCTTTCAAGGCCTGATGAAATTCATCCACAGACATTTCGTCTAGCCTTAAGAGATCATTTAATGATGGGAGGGCCTCAAGGTCAACCTCACCATCTACATCACCTGTCGCTCCGTTGACCAGAGTGTACAACTGGTCACTAACATTACTATGCGATAAAACAGACGCTTTTCGTCTCGCAGCCGCCATCTGGCGACGCTGCCGTCTCATTGACGAGACCGTACTTTTTAAAGTACTTGGGATACCATCATCCCCAAGGTCAACAGACCCCTTGTCATTTACCTGCCATATGCGAGGACCGATGTCAATATTGACATCCAGTGGGTCACTTGTACCAGTGACTTCACTAACAAGGTCATCGACCTTAACTTGCTCTATACGAGAGCTGATGTCATTATCGACATCCAGTGAGTCACTAGTATCAGTGACTTCACTAACAAGGTCATCGACCTTAGCTTGCTTTATGCGAGAGCCGATGCCACTACCGACATCCAGTGAATCGCATTTACAGCCAATATTACTAACAAGGTCATCGACCTTAACTCGCTCTATACGAGAGCCAATGTCATTACCGACATCCAGTGTCTCAATATTACTTTGAGTATCACTCAACGGAGTACGTGCCGCTCCACTAGGTGTCACTGAGCTTTTCTCGACACTATTATTGTTGCCGCTGGAGTTTATCAACTCAGACACTCCAATGTCCAGCACACTAATTGAATCAGTTAATGGCTCGCGCCAATAGCACTTTTGTTTTCTAGCAAAGGTGGGTTCATGACTCTCCAAAGCTTCGCTAGGAACATTGCGCGTTGCGCCTAAACTTTTGTATCTCCAATCGATCCATGGATCATGGCGTTCCAGCCAGACCATACCGAGAATGAGATCATATCTCGTTAGTACGAGTGATCCGGGGGTGGCTATTGCTACACTACGGAGTGTTGTGGTACTTGGCAAAGAGTATCCATCAGATTTGCTTTACGGTGAGCTTATTGACCGTATCCAAAGTCACGAAGCTGTTGCGTACAAGGACGCAGTGGCAATCTATGCGGCGCGACGTTCGTTGGAGTCCAGCCACTGCGTAAACCGACGTGCCAAAGTACCAGCGTAGAGTTTGTAGATGGCTTGCTGCAAGCAGATCCATCGATAGCATCGATTTTGGGAGAGGAATATTCACCAGCGATCCCAAATCCTTTGAATGAGCTTCTATTCCTGAAAGTGAGACTTGATGGCCCAGTTAGTCGAGTCCAAATCTAGGACAAGACAGCATTCAACACTATTGAAGTCTAAGAACTTCACACCTAAGTTCAACGGTACTTTAGAAACGGTAACACGTACACCTTTTGCGAGGTGCACGGTTATACTGTCACCCTCTTGCGCTTCTAGCGCCTCAGCATACAGCTTACTCCCTTCAAGCGAACGACGTCGGACATAACTACCTGACGCCCCTGAGTCAATTAAAATTGACCATGGTTTCTCAAAACCCTTAACGGTTGCCGACACAACCAACAAGCCTGGCTTGTAATCTTGTTCTATGGGAGCGTCCACAGAACCACCTGGGGCGAAGCCCTGTTTACCTTTCCTTCCTAAAGATTCAACAGAACTTAGTTATTTCCCAGTAGGGCGCCCCGCGCCTACTGGGAGTTGACGTTTTCCCCTGCGGTGCTCGCCTTTTGGCTAGGAGCAGGGTTTCGGCTTTGGTGATTTGAACGTTGCTTTCGCAACGGACAGCTAGGGTGGGGATGCCTAGTGCTTCCGCACATGTAGCATCTACGGATGTTACCTTGCTGCTTAGCAGCTTGAAGCTCAGCTTCTCCAGCATGGCTGAGGTCCATGGGTTCCGCTCTGTTAGAGGCATTTGAATGATACCATGGCAGACCATAGCGAGCAGATTTAAAATTAAATTCAGCGTTAAACGCTATTCTTACTGCCTCTTCGAAAGTCGAAGGCTGGACACGGAAGACTTCTGTCTTGGCGACCCCAGTACGAAGTCCTTCCATAAAAATGGTTACTCGGACTTCCTCTGCCAGAGGGTCCTGCTGCATAGCAGCAATGAGAGTTCTCAACTCTTGGACATAGTCCGACAATTCTTTCTTACCCTGTCGGGCAGCTAAGAAGCGCGAGCGCACACAATAAGCCTGATTAGGCGGTGCAAACACACAAGTTAATTGTTTTTTAAGCATTTTTCATGTGGGGAATGCAGCATTTACAGAGACATCGTTCGTTAGAGCCCACTCTCTAGCTCTTCCACCAAGCTTCGAAATGGCCAAGCCAACTCGCTGCTTATCTGAAACAAGCATGGCGGCATCCATTGCCATTTCAACTTTTCAGATCCAGAGGAGAAGATTTTCTCCCTCCTTCCCATCAAAGGTCTTTACGTTTTAAAACAAGTGGTCGAGCCTTTGGCTCTGTATCGGGCACAGGTACCGGGATGTACTGTGTAGGCGCAGCTGACGCTACCTGGTCATGGACCTGCCCGAGTAGCGTTGCTTCATAACGCATAAAGGCCTCAAGGCGAGCATTAAGAACCTCGGGGCCTTGGGCCAAAAGGGCCTCGATTTGATCGGGCCCGACGAACGCCGATAGTTTATCTAAGGCGAGTCGTTGCGCCTCAGAGAGGTGATTTTGATTCTCCTTCCTCACAGAGGGTCAGTCTTTAAAGACTCAGGTGTAGGATTGACTACAAGTGCTACCAAGTGTAGCGGAGCTACACAGCTCTTTAGCCAGAGGAAGACTTTCGGCTGGAAGCCTCTTAGTTCTAGAGAACTAAATAGAGTTAAGGATAAAAGCCACTTAGTTCTAAGGAACTAATTAAACGACTTAAAGTCACCCTGTTCTAAGGAAGTAGGAAAGACTTTTAGTCAGCAAGCAATAAGCTTAAGGTTCAGAGAACCAACGCACAGAGTGCAAGAACAAGCTAGAAGCTTAGAGTTTCAGAGAACCAATGCACGAAGTGCACAAAAGTACAAGTCAGAACGACTTGCGATCTTAAACTCAAAAGGAGAACTGATTTTATTTATGCTTTAAGATAATATGAATAGTCCTACTCTAAGTAACCTACACTAGATTAATTACTATAATAGTAATTGTTATATGCAGACTTTGCTATTGGACGACGTATCGTCTAAACATCTGTGTATGATGTACTTAATACAGCGTTAGTGATTTATCGAATCCCAATCAATAAGATACGGTATTACCGAATACCGTATCTTAACGCTCATACTTAATACCTCTCTAAAGAGAAGTATAATAATGCATTATATGCAATACAAAAGGAGTGTTTAACCGTAAACTCTCGGAAAGACGCTACAACCGTCGTGTAACCCCGTTACACTATTCACATTGATGGGGATGACGCCGAGCTGGGACTAGGCGTCATCAACTGACGTCAGTCAGTTACGCAATCAAGCGATATTAAATTTATTTGAGCTCGCACGTTGGAATGAGCGTGCGTGTGGATACGGATGCCCCTCAGTATTGAATGGGGAGACTTTCCTCCCCTCATAGGGAGTTGGCAGGACATTTGGCGCAGGGACTTGGTTACAAACCTCTTAAATTTTCCTCCTGAGCACCATTTGGCTCAGTTGGAGCAATTCGAGGCGTTTGTGCTCGGACAGCGTAGACACGCGTCCGAGGCAAACAGCCAAGCCACGCCTGAGCCATCAGTAAGACTCAGGATGAGATTTTGCGTGAGAAAGCTCGGAAAGAGGCGCTCAACAGAACTGTTGAGACGCTCTCAGCCCGGTCTAATCATCTTAGGCCCATTCGAATGGACCCTCCGAAGTTTGATGGGCCTGCTCCACATAACTTTTTCCCCTTTTTTTAGCAGTGGATCAATGCGGTATGCCATGTTTAACTTGCGTGGCAAAGCATCAGAGTGTGCTTACTATGCGCTGATGGCTAACTCTGATGCATTTCCATCATGGGCGATCTTTAAGGCAAAGATTCGCGCCATGTATCAGCCGCCTAACAACGAAGTGTTGCTTATGGCGCGCTTCTTTGGAGCACGACAGGCGAAACGCTCTCTGCAAGAATTTGTGCAGGAGATGCGTTCGCTGTCGGCATCCATTAATGGGAACCGATACCAGAGCGTATCAAGGTGGCCACGTTCATGAATGGACTTAGGCACGGCCTATCGTGTCAGGCTTTTTTTAGAAAGGTTCCAGCGACGATGGAAGAGGAAACTGACATTGCCTTGGTTGAGGAGCAATCCTACAACAGCGCCTCGACGACAGACTATTACAGGCCGTCAGCCGAGAAGTCTGATCCCACTCCTATGGAGTTAGGCAATGCAGATGTGATCTGCTACAAGTGCGTCAAGCGAGGCCATATGATGACTCGCTGATATGCCACAGTTGCTGCTGGTGCTAAGGCAGCCAGCATAAAGGCTCCCATGGATCGAAGAACTGTGCACGTCGCACGGGTTCAGCACCTGCCCCAGATGGGTCGGGAAATGCGGGAGCGCAGTAGGGGCGGGATTCCCTACTGTCGCGGACTCTGAAGCTACCCCTAAGTTCAGAGTGATCGAACAAATGGGTAGCATAGTCCATGAGGTTCCGAAAGGTCGGACCACGTCACTTTAGTCTATAGCACTCGAGTACGAAGCTATGACCAAGTGATGACCCTTCTCGTGGATTCGGGTGCATCACAGAACTTTATGAAACTAGCGGCTCTGAAAAAGAGTCCGGCGAGTTATGAGTCGCTTTGCCAGGATGGCAAGCGAGAAGAGGCGATCGTTCGTTTAGCGAACGATGCGCTCGTAAAATCAGAGGTAGTACAAGTTGAACTCGCCTTCAGTTTCAGTGACTTCTCCTGTAAAGAGAAGTTCACAGTGCTAGGTATGGAGAGTCCGTATGACCTCATCCTAGGCATGCCTTGGTTGGCTAAACACCAACCATGGATAGACTGGCGTACACGCACAGTCGCTAGCTCTACGCAAGACACCGGAAAGGATGTGCTCTTGCGAGAAGCTTATGTGGATGATGCTTGTCCAACACAGTCGAGGGTGCGATGACTGTATGTCAATCGACACCAGGTACTACTCAGCTCGTTGTGCCTGGAGTAGTTGGGAGTGTCCTGACATGACACATATTCCTTCCCAGGTCGAAAAGTCTGGTGGGGTGAATGGGGAGATGGCAAGTAGTCATGCGCTCAATAGTCCTGCACAGAGCCGAGAGCCTGTGGCAGTTGATAGTGGGCTGTTAGGAAGTCAAGCGCCACAAGAACCGACACAGAGCCATGGGCCTGGTGCGGTTGGAAGGAGTGCGTTGGCTGATACAACAACGACACCTTCTTTTAGGTCAAAGGTTGTGGTGACTCGAAGAACGAGCACCAGACGTATTAAGACGATCAAGGGCACGTCGAAACGAAAGACCCTTGGATCAGTCTCGGTCCAAGAGGACGGACCTACGAACGAGTTGTTCGAGGCCGTCGAAGACAAAATGCCGGAGGCATCCTCAGTTGAGGTGCTCCAACTTGTCTTGGCATCTGCCGAGGAGATAGTATATCTCTCGGAGATGACGTGGGATCTATTCCTGTCCGAACTAAAGGAAGGAAAGATCCACGAGATAGTCGCACCAGTTCCAGAAGAGAACGTGGTGGACTGTTGCTCTTCATCCACAATGGATAAGAGCATCTTGGAGACCGACATAAAGGAGGGGTTCGCTGTTCAAGGCTGGGACGCTTTGAAGGACAGTCCTCTACCGTTCTATGATGTTCTGTGGCAACACCGTGATGTGTTTCCAGCAGAAGTGCCGAGCCGCCTACCGGCCGATAGAGGCATCAGGCACGAAATTGACCTGGAGCCTGGCACCAAGTATTGTGTGACCAAGCAATGGCCGTTGCCGAAGGAACAAGTCGATTACATCGATGAGTTCTTCGACAAGCGAGCTAAGGCGGGAAATGTACGTGCGAGTAAGTCGCCTCACTTCAGCCCGACCTTCTGTGTGCGTAAAGCCACGGGTGGATGGCGCGTGGTTCATGCTTATAATAAGCTGAACACAGCCACCATTCCGGCCCAAACGCCGATCCCGCGGAAAGATGTTTTGTTGAATTCCATGGGAAAGTCAACTATCTTTTCCGCGATGGATCTGAAGGATGGCTACTATCAGGTTCTCATGAGAGATACTGATGTAGCCAAAACGGCAGTAAGCACCCCAAGCGGTATGCTGTGGGAGTGGCTTGTGATGCCACAAGGGTTGAAAAATGCTCCGGCAACATTCAACCGAGCGGTGGCTCACGTGATGCGTCAGCACCGTGCCTATGCGTCCCATTACTTTGACGATGTATTCGTGCATAGTAGGGCGGAGGACGGTATGAGCGCAATAGAGTCGCACAATCGTCATTTAGACGCTGTGTTGCAGACTATGGGTGACGCCCAATTATACGTGAACTTGGAAAGTGCGTAATAAGGGTCCCCGAGATACCTGTACTGGGCTGCGTCGTAGGTGCACATGGTGTACGAGCAGACCCAGAAAAGGTAAAGGCTGTAAAGGAATCGCCAGTCCCACGACACGTGAAGGATCTGCGCCAATTCCTTGGGCTCGCTAATTACTTGCATAAGTACAGCAAGAATTATGCGGAGCAGACCAAGCCATTGTCTGAACTTTTGAAAAAGGATACAGAATGGACTTGGCCAAAGGAGCAAGAAGATGCGTTCACATCAGTGAAGCAATCTATTGTTGAGACACCGGTCTTGGCATTGCCAGACGCGAATAATCCCTTTAGCGTCGTCTGCGATGCAAGCAATTTTGCAATCGGCAGCGCGCTCATGCAGAAGGATGACAACGGCGTTGACCGTGTCATATCTTATCAGTCTCGGCTTTTAAAAGCCGCAGAGCTGAATTACCCTGTGCATGACAGGAGCTACTTTCAATTTTAAGTATTCCCTTGTGAAGTTTCGTGTGGCACCTTTTAGGCACTGAACCATTTGTGGTTTATACGGATCATACATCACTGCAAACCGCTATAAATTCACCGCACCTCTCGCCGAGAATGGCGAGATGGCTAACTTTCTTCTCTGAATTTGATTTCAAAACTGAACATAAGCCGGGTAAGTCGAATGTCATGGCTGACGCGTTATCACGCAGACCAGACTTCGAGGCAAGACACCAGGACAGTGTGTCTCGTGCGAAAGCACAACTTGAGTCGTCAACATTGGCAGCCATGAAGTCCTACCATGTGACGAGCTCAATGGCCTCCGATATCAAGGAGTGTTACAGTCAGGACGAACATTGTCGCCTGCTGTTGGATCATTTTGGTGGACGAAAGATTACCCCTCAAAGCGAAGCTCAATCGCTTTAGTTACAGTGATGGCCTGTTATGGCATCAACTGTCATCTTGTGGTCCCTTGAGAATCTATGTCCCTCATGAAACAGATCGCAAGCTGATGATACTTCACGAGTGCCATAATGCGCCATCTAGTGGGCATCTGGGCCGTGGAAAGACATTCTTACGAGTGTCAGAGGAATTTTGGTGGCCCCACCTATATCGTTGGGTGGCCAACTATATTCGCTCTTGTGAAGAGTGCCAGCGCATAAAGCCTGCACCTTCGAACAGTGCGCCACTGAAGACACTGCCGATTCCAACTGAGTGTTAGAAGTCGGTCATTTTGAACTTTATGTTTGGCTTACCGCCTGACCATAAAGGCAGGACGGGGCTCGTTGTCTTTGTAGACAGACTGAACAAGATGGTTCATTTGGCACCATAAGGCACCAAGATCTCAGGAAAAGAGGCTATGGACTCGGGCATCATGTGTATCGACTACACGGGATGCCCGAGTCCATAGTATCGGACCGAGATTCGCTTTTTACTTCAGGTTTTTGGCGACATGTGCTTGAGCTGCTGGGAAGCAAGCTCCACATGTCAACCGCTGATCATCCCCAAACTGATGGCCAAACAGAATGTGCCTATCGAGTTGTGGTAGATGTGTTGCGAACAGTAGAGACTCCCCAAGAATGGATCAAGCAATTGCCATTAGTGGAGCTCGCTATTAATGACAGTTTTCACGCCAGTACGGGTGAAACACCGTTTTACATTAACGGACTGCGTCATCCTCGCACGCCAGTCTCGTTTGTACGCAGCCCGAGTCTTGGTGGGGGAGGGCTCCTCACTTCGCTCGGTACGAATGCTAAAAAGGGCCAAGGTTTCCCTAGTGATATTGCTAGTTTAGCAGTGGTCACGACACCTATAGGTGTCACAGAGGAGGCACGGCATGAAATGCCAGTGCTCCTTGATGATGACACTATAGTGTTATCAACTGCGTTAACTCGTGAACGACCTCTTGGAGGCGTCATAGGCGAGCTGGATGCTAAAAGCGTGAGAGAAGATCAGCGATTTGTAGACAAGCGATAAGACATCACACGTAAGGTCCGTGACGCGATGGCAAGCGCACATGACAAGCAAAAACGATATGCAGACCAGCATGGTCGCAAAAACAATGAGCACTTTAGTGTGGGGGAAAAAGTGCTATAAAGCACTGCTACTTTACCTAAACATGCCATTTCTGTACTACCTGGTGGTACTACTAAGCTATTGCCCCGGTTCATTGGGCCCTTTACAGTGGTTGAAGAAGCTGGAGACCTAAATTATAGGCTCACTCTCCCACTGTATATGAAAACGCACCCCGTATTTACGTGGATCGTCCGAAACGATATGTTGATCTACAAGATATCATATATTCCCATCAGTCTAGCGAGACCGATGGTGACGTCGACTGTGAGTCGAGCGTCGCGGCCGATCAGGCGACGAGGAAGCCCATAGGCTTCCCGTATACGAACGAGGGCTCGGTAGAGGACTTGGTGAATGAGGAGGGCTCCGCGCTTGACGCGGGTCTCTCATCACCAGTCGCTATAAAATGTCCAAACGGGTCTTCAGGCGGTCATACCCCTGACGATCCATCGTATTCACGAAGCGAATATTTATAGTACATGACTCGAAAGATCGGCCACCTCTCACTTCAGCGCAGCGATCTCCGCCTGCGACTGAATGACAACAGGAAAGGCAGCCGCGAATAGTTGGGAGTAATCGCCGCTCCTATCGGGCGCCACCTGTGTTGGTGGAAACGGAAGGGAATACGCTCTTCCTTGTTGGAAGGCTGTTGGTCCACCGGTTTGTGAAGCGAAAGCTCCAAATCCTGGTCCAGTGGAAGGGTTACCCAACAAGCTTTGACGTATGGGAGCCTGTTGACGCTTTGCGCGTCGACATGCCTGGGGTGGTGGCTACTTATGTGAAGCAGCACCAGCTGTCGTCTTTCTGCTAGGTCCGGATGGACTAGCAGAAGAATCGTGGCGAGAATCAATTGGGGGTCGCTTACCACCCAAGTTTTCATACCCACGCTTCATGGCGAAGCTGATTCGCTGCGACCGCTGTTTCGTTGCATCTACATGAAAGGTAACACGGCGCCGGAGCTCAGCTTCATATTCGTCGGCTGTTTCGTTAGAACGCAGCACGACTGGAATTGGGAAAGAATGACCAAGTGCTTTGCCCTGCTTTTTCCACAAGGGAAAAGACGCTATAAAACCTATGAGCGTCAATAGTTGCACGCTGCAAAAGCGCTGCACTAGACCCATCCGAATTTATCCACTCAGATGGAGGTGGCATTGGTGGCAAGCCACCACTCACGTAGCCGCCCTCGCGACGGCGGGCTAGTGAGGCCGACGGTGTACTTGGTGGAGCTTTCAGCTCACACTCACCTGAGTCTGACTCTCCATTATGGATTGTCAAGACATCAGCTTGAGGAGTCACATCTGACTGAGTCGCGACTACTCCTTTCGAAGTAGCGCGCTCAGTCTTAGTCGCTGCGCTCGTAGGCACAGACGACTGGGGTTTCCACTTTCAGGAAGCATAGACGCCCTTCAAGGACGGGTGCCTTAAATGATGGGGACATATGTCCCATCAATGCGATTTGCTCATCCCACTTTGGGGTGATGGCAACGGCGTGCCTTCATTGTAGTCTACAATGGGAGATGGATCTTCATACGCATTATAGTGAGATGGAAGATTCGCCTCGTGCTACTTAGCACACAAGCGAGAAAGCGGTTAGACCGTCTTACCTTCGCGTGCGAGGGTGGTTATGCGGTTGGCCGACTGCTTAAGCAGTAGTACCACCAGTTGCCTCTCGCTTAAGCGAGAGTGCAACGAACCCTTTAGACAAGAAGTCACCGACGTCACGTAGAAGCTTTTCAGCTTCTCGTGCGTGATGCTTCGGTGTTTAGCAAATTCAAGACTGAGCTATATTTAATTAATTATAACTATATATATATATATACTTAACTACTGATTGGCTATATATGTATATAGATCGGATACGCGACTCTTTAGAAGCGTACCCTGTCGCATGAACTTAAATCTAGATTTAAGATCGCGACTGACGTCTTTCTGAAACGTCGCGATGCCTACTTCAACTAGCGTCATTCCTTTCCATGTGAAACCATAAATGGATATCACATTCACGAGGGTGGATCACGTTTGTGTATCGCACCCAAGTGACAGGTCAAAAGTAATCATGGATACTTTTAGACCAAACATTAAGTATATAACTTAATGTTTACGTGTAACTAGATGTCCTGTTACATTATTTGATGACGCCTAGTCCCAGCTGGGAGTCATCCCCATCAATGTGAATACACCTAGTGTATATTACATACACAAGGGTGTGACACATGGTGTGTTCCACCCAAGCGACAAATCTTAAGTACTTACGTACCTTTTTAGACCTGCCCGTTGAATATCGCATACTTAGCGGGTACGTGTAACGTTGAGCCCGTTACATGCTTACTTTAAAAGCTAAGAGAGCTGATAGATATGAAGCGCTGATTTGTTTGCACATGGTTTTCTTTCGCCAAAGTCTTCAGCTATTTGATTGTAGAAGCCAGTCAAAAGCTACGGCGTTGCTAATCAGGTTTAGAATCGACCAGACATTCTGCAAGTGCTACAGGTTAAATAGACTCTTCTGCTTTCTCTCTAAGGCTAAATTGACCTCGCTAATTGAAGCTGTCAGCAGAGGCTTTTGAAATGCGTCAAAAGTCGACCTCTTTGCACAAAGAGCAATGGCAAAATGGGTTGGCCAAGCGTGTCGGCCAACACTAGTAGCTATTTTACCAGCAAAACAAGCATTAATAGTACAAATGCTTTCTCTATCATCACCACTAAACATGCACTTCAACATGTGACGTGTGAACCGATGGGCACACTGTACCAAGAGATCCAAAAAATAGTGTAAAACACGCACGTATCGAAATGATTGTCATTCCTTCTTGGCTTCACTATGTTCTGCCACATCAGATAATTGCAAAATGTACGAAGAGGAGAATACGAACGAGGCGCTCTTGGCTGTAGACATTCCCCCAGTGTCTTCTCCACCTCGTCGTCTTCGTCGCGTAGATACTGCTCTGCTCGTTGTCCTTTTGATCGTCACGTGCTTCATTAGTGCGCGCCCGCCCGCTCTGCGTACTTCGAACCCATTGTGGGTTTCCAATGACACACGTAATGTACACTATTTGATGTACGATGACATCAATCCAGCCAAACGTCAATCCGGATATAGTATTAAATATTCCACTCGAGGGTTTGAGATTGATGGCAAACAGACGCTTTTATTAGGAGGTTCAATCCATTATCCACGAAGCTCACCAGGTCAATGGGAACAATTGTTACGAGATGCTAAACGAGACGGTCTTAATCATATTGAAATGTGTAAGAATTTTCATTGGATACTTAAGTAAAGTACTATATTTAGTCAAAAGTAGTATACTATTTTTTTTACCTAACGGATCAATGTATTCCTGTAAAATTGTAGATGTATTCTGGAACTTGCATGAACAAGAACGAGGAGTATTTAACTTTGCAGGGAATGCCAATATTACGAGATTCTATCAACTAGCAGCAGAAGTAGGACTATTCTTGCACGTTCGGTTTGGTCCGTACGTGTGTGCTGAGTGGAGTAATGGAGGTCTGCCCGTGTGGCTTGATTGGATCCCTGGGATGAAAGTACGATCAAGTAATGCTCCTTGGCAGAGTGAGATGGAGAGATTTGTTCGGTATATGGTGGACCTCTCAAGACCCTTTCTGGCAAAGAACGGTGGACCAATTATTATGGCACAGATTGAAAACGAGTTGGAATCGCATGATGTCGAGTACATCAAGTGGTGTGGTGATCTTGTGAAGCAATTGGATACGTCGATTCCATGGGTCATGTACGTTACTGACGACCACTGGATGAGCTGCAGATGTCTAGTTAGGCTTATTGTTTTCTTCTGGTTGTCCACAGGTGCGACGCCAATGCAGCTGAAAACACGATTCTCTCGTGTAATGCTGATAACTGTTTCGATTTCGCGGTAACAAATGTACACGATCGCCCATCGGACCCACTTGTGTGGACTGAAGATGAAGGTTGGTTTCAAACGTGGCAGAAGGGTAAAAAAAGACCGTTGCCAAATGACCAGCGAACTCCTCAAGATGTGGCGTATGCTGTGGCTCAATGGTTTGCGATCGGCGGTGCCGCACACAACTACTATGTGAGTAATTCATACCTTTCTGTTGTAATGTAGCTCACATGATACAGTAACATTTAATCGTTTGTGTGGTGTTCAATTTCAGATGTATCATGGTGGCAATAATTACGGCAGGGGTGCTTCTGCGGGAGTGACTACTATGTATGCTGACGGTGTAAATCTTCATTCAGATGGTCTGAGCAATGAGCCAAAACGATCTCATTTGCGCAAGCTTCACAAGGCGCTAATTGAGTGCAATGATATCTTACTGCTGAATGATCGGCAATTGCTGAATCCTCATAGCCTGGTACATGCAGACCAGCAGTCTACACAATCTTCGTCACAGCAACGAGCTTTTGTGTATGGGCCAGAAGATGGACCGGATCAAGTGGCATTCTTAGAAAACATGGACAACAAGGGAGTAACCGTAGTTTACAAGCACAGCAGATATGATCTTGCGCCAAAGTCCATCTTGATCGTCAAGGACGGAGCTCTTCTTTTTGACACTGCAGACGTACAGAAGTCATTTCTAGGCGATCAGCATCGATCGTACATGGCGCTGGTGAAAGCTGACACTCTCAAATGGAAAACATGGAGCGAGCTTGATGTATCACCACGGGCTCCAAGAAAACGAGTGGTGGCCAACCGACCGGTTGAGCAACTTCAGTTGACCGCAGATCAATCCGACTATTTAACTTATGAGACCTCGTTCACTTTAAAACAGCTAGATGGGCGTACTGGCGATAGTGACGATGCCGCGGTGACACTGAAGGTAACCTCATGCGAGGCCAGCAGTATCATCGCTTTCGTCGACAAGCGGCTTATCGGTGAGAGAAATCTCGGATACCCTGGTGAAAACTGCTCCCAGGAGTTCCAATTCTACTTACCGGCGAATATTGATGCAGACCGTAAGCATGACCTGAAATTGGTGTCTATAAGTCTGGGAATCTACTCGCTAGGCAGCAACCACAGCAAAGGAATAACGGGTAGTGTTCGAGTTGGACACGTGGATCTCACAGACGGCCAAGAATGGTTGATGTACCCGAGTCTTGTTGGCGAGCAGTTGGAGATCTATCGTTTGCAGTGGTTAAATTCGGTACCGTGGACTCCGATTCCTCGTGTGGATGCATTTTCTGGAAATGCTGTCAAGAAGGGTCGCCAACTGATGAGTTGGTATTGCACGTCATTTCGGTATCCTGCGCAACAGGTGGAGAGCGAGCAGCAGTCGTCAATCCTGCTCGATTTCCTTGGACTCACCCGTGGCCGTGCGTTTATTAACGGCCATGACTTGGGTCGCTACTGGCTCATTAATGACGAGGGCGACTTTGTTCAACGCTACTATCATGTTCCACAAGACTGGTTGTTGAAGGATCAAGAGAATCTTCTTGTAGTATTCGATGAGCTCGGTGGATCGGTTGCTGACGTGCGGCTGGTGTCCTCTACGATGGTTTCAACTATAGAGATTGACGACAGTCTCATCGTCGCTGACATTGCAATGCAAATTAGGCAAGGCTCGAATTAGTCACTTTGAATGATGGAATTAGTCACCTCGAATGAGAAGAGGTGAAACGGCATATAAACAGCAGGTCGAAATGTTTGGCATACAATGTGCGACAACATGTCTGAGCGTTGAAACGCTCTGCTCGTTAGCATTTAACGTACTGTTCAGGCTTCAACTTATCCTTTAACGTAGTCAGAAAGATCCGTCAATCACACAAAATGAATGCTCAAGAGTCCTACGTGAGCTTTAAAACGTCGGTTTCCAAAGCAGCCAGTGAGTAAAAAGCTGAAGTTTCAGCTATCTAGCGGATACCTACTTTTTTTCTACAATTGTACGACAAAACACTTGTGTCCGACAAATTTTGTCCAGTGCTGGCCATAAAAAATCCCGCTATAGAGTCCAAAATAGTCCAAGTCGTCTTGCATCAGTACATTTCGCTTCTTCATTATTACTGATTGTCTTCCGTCATGAGCTACATGTCGATGGATTCCCCAAAAGCGGGTGAAACTGAGCACTATAATGCTCTTGTGCAAGAGACTTCCAAGGCCGTGGGTCAGTTTAATCAGGTGACGCGCACGATTGCGCAAAAGATGACGTTGTTTGGGACACCCCAGGATTCACGTGCCAACCATCAGCAGCTCACGGATCTCACGGATCGAGGAAATAAGCTCGTGGCCAAGATCAATCGCCGGCTGCAGGATTTGAATACAGGTGCTAAGGCTGCAGGTGGTCGTGCACGGAAAACACAAGTGGCTAAGCTGTCTGTGGACTACAAGAACCAGCTCAAGAGCTTTGAAGAAACATGTCAGAAGCTGTTGGCAGAAGAGAGAGCTGCAGTTTCGAATCTCCGACGGTCGTCACTTTCCTTTCGGTCAGATGATAATGACATACCTGGAGGTTTTGGTGGGTACAATGAGGATCAAATTTACGCTCAGGCTAATGTTACACGCTACAATGAAGATGGTGAGCTTTGACAAGAAGAGGGGAGACTGCAGATGAGTGACTGAATAGTTGTTCTTATTGGGATTGTTGTAGATTTGGCACGACGAGAAGAGGATATTCTCAAGATTAATCAGCAATTGTATGAGGTGAACGCGGCTTACCAGGAGGTTGATGGACTTGTACAGGACCAAGGCGAGATTGTTGGTGCGTGTTGTTAGTAAAACTGTCGACAATTCAAAATAATGCTGAGCTGTTGATAATTGGCAATTTGGTCTGACGAATGCTTGTTTCGTGTGTCTTACAGTGGACATTGAAGAAGACACGAACGTGGCACAGGAAAACACGCAGGGTGCGTTGCACAACGTGCGAGAGGCCAATCGCAAGCGCGGATTATGCAAGTGCTCCAAGACAAAACTCTTTTGCCTTGGCATCTTTTCGATTTTGGTGGCTGTCGCTATCGTTGCAATCCTGGCACTTGTCAAATAACGCAGCCAGGTTTTGATCACTGAGGGTGGTCGTGTGATAAGAGCAAGCATTCAGCCGCTTACTGCTACAGGACACATACGAGACCTATTGACGAACCCATTTATAATTTTTGAACCATTTGCAGTGAAAAAAATGTTATTTAGTTTACCTTGGAACGAGCTGCTACAAATATGAGTACACTATGTGGATGGGTACATGCATGCAATTCTCTTTCGTAGTGATAGTGTCAAAGGGCCGATAATTACTATCACTATTAAACGTTGTGCCAATGTTCTGCTTAAGTTAGACACGGTACGTCGGAATAGTGCTGTGTAATGTCGCTGCCTAAGGTCTATGCCAACAATTTGTTTCTTTCCTAACATAGGAGCACATCCTACTTCTATTGTCTTTAACTTTAAAATAGACCTATCTCTAAGTTTATGTTACCTCGGTTATATATGCATTAGTGACGAAAGTTCATAATTGTAAAAGAAGGTTCAATGATCTTTCTTCACACGTTCCGTCCTGGTGCCAGCCCTAGAATATTAACTCCAAGTCTGCTAGAAACAGAGACTGCTACAAATGTATTTGTTTAAACCATAACAGTAATGCTCTTTTTATAGAATAAAACAGGTTTTATTGCTAAGAAACAATTGATTCGTTATAACCACGCTCGTTTTTACAATAAAATAGGTTTTATTGCTCAACCACGCACAACCAAGCAGCATGGAGGCAGCCGTGCAGCAGACAAAAAAGATCATTACACGCGAGTTGTCGACCCCTTCACGAATCCAAACTGACTACAATGTCGACAATGAAACCGCTTTTAACCCCGTAACAATCGGTCTCGAGTCTGACTTTGTTTTAACGGATTTTAGCGCTCTTAAAGGTTGTGGCTGTAAACTTCCTCAATCGAAATTATTGAGCTATTTAAATGACTTGGAAAACGATCTCAAACCCAATGAGACACCAGGAATGGATTCAAGTGTAGTCAAGATTTCACATGGAAAGGACTTGTTTCTTGTATCGACTACTGATTTCTTCTTCCCTTCGGTTGAAGACCCCTATGTACAGGGCAAGATCGCCTGTGCGAATGTCCTGTCCGATGTCTACGCTATGGGCGTTACTCAAGTGGATACAATGCTCATGATCCTAGGAGTGTGCAGAGACATGAACGAGAAACAACGGGACGTTGTCACGACGTACATGATCCGTGGCTTTAATGACCTGGCACGTCAGGCACACACCAATGTTACTGGTGGTCAGACGGTTATGAACCCATGGCCTCTTGTTGGTGGTGTTGCTATGAGTGTACGCAGCGGTAGGTTGCAGTAGATTATGTTTTTGGTTATAGAGTAGACTGGAAGCTCAGCTGATGCCATGTCTGATGATTGCAGAGAGTCAAATCATTCGTCCAGAGAATGCCGTAGTGGGGGATGTGATTATCCTGACAAAGCCGCTCGGTACTCAAGTTGCGGTAAACCTTTTTCAATGGAAGAAAAAGCCTGAGCGCTGGCAGCGTTTGCAAGAGATTGTTACACCTGAAGATGCCGACGTGGCTTTCCAGATGGCATCGGAATCCATGAGCCGACTCAATCTAAACGCTGCCAAGATGATGCACAAGGTCAGTGAAAGCTGCTGCACTTGCTTTTGTGACTATTGACGCTCTGTCGTGTTTCTTGAATAGCATGGTGCACACTCTGCAACGGACGTGACGGGCTTCGGTATTCTTGCTCACGCGCGCAACCAAGCCAAGTCACAGCTGGGTGATGTCTCCTTCGAGCTGCACATTCTCCCGGTCATCAAAAACATGGTTCAGGTAAACGAGATCATAGGCAATCCATTCAAGTTGCTGGATGGTTTTGCGGCAGAAACGTCGGGCGGTCTACTGATTTGTCTCCCTGCTGAGAACGCCGAAGCATTTATCAAAGAGCTACGCGAACTTGATGACAAACCTGCGTGGATTGTGGGCCGCGTTGTCGCCGGTTCAAAGGACGCCTATATTGTACCAAATCCCACCATTATTGATGTCTCTCCGGAAGACTAAAAAGCAGGTAGCAGTGACCAGCCAGCACCGTTGAAGTGAAGCAAATGAGACCTCGGCAAAAAACGGCACCAGAATAAACCAAAAAATAAGAAAAGGATGACCGCAGCTTAACGTGATCGAGCCACGCTCTACATCTGAGAGAGAGAGAGGACAGACGAGTCTATTTGACCTTAAGTGGTTGCAGGATGTCTGGTAGTTGTTAAGCCTGGTTAGCAACACCGGTTCCTCGATTAACTCCGACTGTTGTACTGGGCTTGTCACCTGCGGTGACGGCTCCCGGGGTTGTCTGGCTATGGAACGTTGACATAGCATCAGTCTGTATTTTCGTGTCTGTTCGCTGGCACTCTCGTTTCGCTACGGCTCGAAGTTGCCTCATGCTGGTTTTTCAAATTTTATGAACGCTGCCGGTGATGGTTACGTCCGCTTGCTGGAACGTCACTCAGTTTCATTGCATCCACAAGCTGGTGGTGCAAACGCTGCTCAAGATGTGCCATATGCGTTTCCACTCGGCGGCGTATGCGGCCGCCTCGACTGGGAGGTGTCTGGCAAACTGTTCCTGGACAACCTTGGATAGTCCTGGCGCACGTCTGCTTGCACTTCTTGCAAGGAAGCTTTGAAGCCGTCCAGGCTCCCCATCGTTCTCCTGTCCAGTGATAGATGAGCTTTTATCAGCAGGCTTGCGCGTACGGGCAGGTCCAGCATATGTGTTCCAGGTGTTTTTTCACTCCTTCGCAGCATTGTAGCTCCGGCAAATGCTGCCGCTCAACAAACGACCCATACTTCGTACGTGGTGGAGCTCAATCCTATGAGTCCAGAGAGTGACTGGCGTCTGCTGTAAAGCTACTGTCTGCCACGCACTTTCCCGCGCCAAATTGGGAACAGCAAAGGTCCGATCAACTGCTGACGAGTGTTTCCAGAAGTCTTGTGATCTTATAAGAGCTGCCGTCCTCTTTCAGCTCCTCGCACCGTGGAAGTCATCTTTGATTATGTCAAAAGCACAAGGTGAAGATACTAAGTTACTACAAACACGATTCGATCGTAAACGCCTACGCGGTTGGCAGCAGTACAGAAGCTCTTGCATTCTCGGCTAATAGGGCTTGTGTACTGCTATTAAGCACAATTAGAACATCATGATCGATGAACACCCATTCACTAACGTCACTGCAGTGCTGCGTCGTGGCAGTCAAGCAAACAGAGCCCCAAGAGACTGGAAGTCTGCCCTCTAAGCTTGTCATGTGAAATAACCCAAACTGATCCGTATACCAACCAAGTTGAAGGTGTTACAGTTGAAGGAGAAGATGTGTGCTAGTACGATCAAGTTTGCGTTACGCCACCGAAGAAGGAGTAAAGAATAAGCTAAAGCTGTCTGCCTGTGGTAACGCAGTTGGGAGTGGAAGGCATCGAAATTTGTAGCGGGAAAGTCATTGTAACTTGCAACTGCGGTGCATTCTTCTCGTCGCTCGACTTAATGTCCACGCTCACAAAGAGAAGATTATGCAAAGGCAGAGAGCATACGACTCAATATTCCCAGCACTTTACAAGTTCGTAACGGCATCAACTACATGAAACTGATAGTGGGCAGTCACAGAAATAAATACTCGAGTGTAACAAGCAGTTTTCAATTCACCTTGGAGACCGTAAAAGCGTCTGGTTCCTGCCACTCACCAGACGACGACCTTAATACGCGACGGAGTCGCTTTCACCCACCGAATCGTTGCCAGTTGGTCACCGCATATCTCGAGTCTATTCAACGGTTTGCATCCGTTGTTGGTCTTCGAGCTGCATTGCAAACTTTGGCTGTTGTCTTGAGAGTACTGCCATTCGAGAGTCAATCGATCATTCGACGTTGTTGTCACCTTTGCACATCTTCGTACGGCCGCAGTCCGAACTCTTCTCTCTCTCTCTGTTGCTTACTTAGGGCCCATCCACACATAGTAGCACATCAACTCGTGCCAGAATGTCTGCAGGCCGCTATGAGATGGAATCATCGCTGCGTGCATCCTTCTTTGGTGATATCCTGCTGTGCCGAGATCGAATCACGCTCGAACGTGTGGTAGTAAAGTCAGCGGACTTGTACTTGGCACTGCATCAGACGTCGCGTTCGCAGGAACTCGTGCAGGAAAACGTGCAGCTTGAGGTGGAGGTACTGAATCACGTGCGTGCACTGGGCGGCCACCCGAACGTCATCAACATGCACAGCTACTTCGTCGTCAATGGCGTGTTGCATGTGGTGTTGGATTACTGTGAGGGTGGTGACCTGCTGGATGCGTACGTGCAGCCGCCCAGCACAGCAGACAAGAGCGGTAATAGCAATTGCAATCACGACAACAACAATCAGAAAGAGGACACAGCCGTAGCCAGAGGAGCACAAGTAATACATGCACAGAGCCCAGAAGACGAGAACAAAGAGGACCGCAACGGACTCTTCTTGAACGGCGCGGACGGATTCAACCGCCTGCACGAGAGCGTGGCACACAAGTACCTGGTAGATGTGCTGTCTGGACTGCGCTTCCTGCACAGCTACGGTATCGCACATCGAGACGTGAGTCTCGAAAACATTCTGATGCGCAATGGGTGCGCTGTGATTACGGATTTTGGACTGTGTGTGCAGGACGCGTCATTGTCATTGTCGTCGTCGGACAGTTCGACGGCCAGCGAGTTCCGCTGCGAAGAGATGGTGGGTAAGAATTACTACATGGCACCAGAGATTGTGGCCCATGAACGCTACGACCCCAGGCGCGCCGACATTTGGTCGACGGGCATCGCTTTCTTCATCCTGTTGACATCATCACCACCATTTGAGCGGGCGGACCCGTCGGATCCGGGCTTTCGGTACGTAGCGAAATGCGGTATCAAGGCAGTGTTCACGGCATGGGGTCTCGATCAGGAAGTATCAGAAGAGATGCAAGATTTGTTGGGACGAATGTTGTGCGTGGACCCAGAGGAGCGTATTACGATGGATGAGACGTGGCAGCATCCGGTGCTGCAGCGAAGTGCGTGTTGGTAATGAGAGAGGTGGACAACTAGACTAAGCAAGGTCGTGGGGTGTAGATAGACGTGTTGGTAGGTTGTGTAATGTAGTGGTAGCGTGTGTATGCTGGTGACTTAAAAGACGAGATCAGTGTGGCTCGTACAAAATATGCGTCTCGATCGGAAGTCATTCAGCGACTCGGATACCTCCTTTTCCGGTGCAACGGTGTACGATAGTTTGTCTGTTCGCGACGAGCTCTCTAATAGTCGATGCCTCATGTAGCGTTTTGAGCCATAAAGACCGAAAGCCACATCGATCGCATCGCTATTGCCAAATACCATCAACGTCAAAGCATCGGGCATAGTTTATTGCAGTTTGCCATCGCGACTTTGCGTGTAAACAGGTGCGTTTGAACAGCAGGTCGAAATGTTCATCGAAACTTTGTCGGCGTCGGTCACATTTTTTTCGTGTCTACTTGTTGCCTTGAGCTGCTGGGCAGCAGTTCTGGGGCTTGAGATGGACAAGGCAAATGTGCGGGATGTTGCGGTGTAAGAAGGACAGGATTGTAAGCGTACCACCATTTGCGCAGACTGGTTACGTTGCGCTGCTCATGGAGCTGAGGATGTAGGAAGAATGGATACCGACACTCAGATCCCCAGCACGGAAGTATTTTCAAGCGGCATTGAACGATCTAGACGAAAGAAAGTGATCCATCGCTACGGCGATGCTCTTGACTCGGTTCACTTGAACAACCATCACGGTCATCTCACTCGCCTTTAAATGCCAATTCTTAATTCTCGAATATCTTCATCCTACTTGGTCGATGCATCACAACTACGTCTCCCTCTGCCTATACCTTGATCCTCACACACACACACACGCTACCACTACATTACACAACCTACCAACACGTCTATCTACACCCCACGACCTTGCATAGTCAAGTTGTCCACCTCCCTCATTACCAACACGCACTTCGCTGCAGCACCGGATGCTGCCACGTCTCATCCATCGTAATACGCTCCTCTGGGTCCACGCACAACATTCGTCCCAACAAATCTTGCATCTCTTCTGATACTTCCTGATCGAGACCCCATGCCGTGAACACTGCCTTGATACCGCATTTCGCTACGTACCGAAAGCCCGGATCCGACGGGTCCGCCCGCTCAAATGGTGGTGAGGATGTCAACAGGATGAAGAAAGCGATGCCCGTCGACCAAATGTCGGCGCGCCTGGGGTCGTAGCGTTCATGGGCCACAATCTCTGGTGCCATGTAGTAATTCTTACCCACCATCTCTTCGCAGCGGAACTCGCTGGCCGTCGAACTGTCCGACGACGACATTGACAATGACGCGTCCTGCACACACAGTCCAAAATCCGTAATCACAGCGCACCCATTGCGCATCAAAATGTTTTCGAGACTCACGTCTCGATGTGCGATACCGTAGCTGTGCAGGAAGCGCAGTCCAGACAGCACATCTACCAGGTACTTGTGTGCCACGCTCTCGTGCAGGCGGTTGAATCCGTCTGCGCCGTTCAAGAAGAGTCCGTTGCGGTCCTCTTTGTTCTCGTCTTCTGGGCTCTGTGCATGTATTACTTGTGCTCCTCTGGCTACGGCTGTGCCCTCTTTCTGATTGTTGTTGTCGTGATTGCAATTGCTATTACCGCTCTTGTCTGCTGTGCCGGGCGGCTGCACGTACGCATCCAGCAGGTCACCACCCTCACAGTAATCCAACACCACATGCAACACGCCATTGACCACGAAGTAGCTGTGCATGTTGATGACGTTCGGGTGGCCGCCCAGTGCACGCACGTGATTCAGTACCTCCACCTCAAGCTGCACGTTTTCCTGCACGAGTTCCTGCGAGCGCGACGTCTGATGCAGTGCCAAGTACAAGTCCGCTGACTTTACTACCACACGTTCGAGCGTGATTCGATCTCGGCACAGCAGGATATCACCAAAGAAGGATGCACGCAGCGATGATTCCATCTCATAGCGGCCTGCAGACATTCTGGCACGAGTTGATGTGCTACTATGTGTGGATGGGCCCTAAGTAAGCAACAGAGAGAGAGAGAAGAGTTCGGACTGCGGCCGTACGAAGATGTGCAAAGGTGACAACAACGTCGAATGATCGATTGACTCTCGAATGGCAGTACTCTCAAGACAACAGCCAAAGTTTGCAATGCAGCTCGAAGACCAACAACGGATGCAAACCGTTGAATAGACTCGAGATATGCGGTGACCAACTGGCAACGATTCGGTGGGTGAAAGCGACTCCGTCGCGTATTAAGGTCGTCGTCTGGTGAGTGGCAGGAACCAGACGCTTTTACGGTCTCCAAGGTGAATTGAAAACTGCTTGTTACACTCGAGTATTTATTTCTATGACTGCCTCATGTTGGTCTCATTTCTTCTACGCCATTCGTAAGGCATCGGTCCGTTACGAGCTTGTACAAGTGATAGCTATTTACATACGCTCTCTGCAAGTGCTTTTGAGATGGAACCAATAGAACCGGAAGTCACACTTACATTGATGTACTTTTGATCCGTCTTCCTCGCTTCTATTGCAGCGTTGACCTCTGTGGCCATACTCCCAGGTCTTAAGTCGTCGTACTAGACGCCACTGCTGTAGAGTTTCATTTTCTTGGGCTACAAAAGCTGTCGACTCTACTAGTTCTAGCATTCGTCTTCCGACATGTTCCACGATCGAGTAATTCATCGAAAATGTCGCGAAGCAGAGACAATCTTTACGCTGTAGATGCTACTGTATATCATAATGAACCAGTCGCTACTGTAGAAACTTTACGATCTTGGATTGCTTAACAGAACGTGTTACAACCGTTGCACGTACCGTCGATTACTTTTGTGTTCCTGCAACCCCACGGTAACGACTACTTTCGACTTCATGTAACGCGGTTGAGCCTAAGAAGTCAATCTAAAAAAGATCAAAGACCAGCGTGAGTAGGCTAGAGCTTGAAAGAGGTGAGTATCCTCTTTCAAGCTCTAGCCTACTCACGCTGGTCTTTTGAGTTCTTCCAAACCCTCGTCAGAACTTCCTTCATAACAATACCTGATACGATAATTATCGTCCTACACGTGCTCTCTTGCAGCATTCAACGATAGAAGAGCTAATACTCTTGCTGTTAAGCTTTAAGAGCTTGGACCGAGAAAGTGTAGATCGGCAGCTTACATGCATGGTAAATTCGAGTTGGCCAGCAAACAACTAGTTGGTACTACTAGTAAACCCAAGTTGCGCATGCTGCTAGCCGCCCAATCGACGCGTCACCACGTGTCGTGATGCTAGCAATAGATGAACTTTTCGCTTCCTAGGAATCCCGTGGATTCTATAGTGCTATGTTATGAGCATAACAAGTTGCAGCACTGACGACTCGACTCTAGAAGCAGAAGAACTTGTCATCCCTTCATTGCACATATGTATGTATATATATACAATTTGATCAACGTCAATCACAATGACAGCTTGGCCGAGTGGTTAAGGCGATGGACTTGAAATCCATTGGGGTAACCCGCGTGAGTTCAAACCTCACAGCTGTCGAATATATTTTAGTCTTTATCATCACTAGCATTAGATTCTATGCACATGAAATGACTCTAATCAGCTATAGTCAGCTGACCATTAGAATCTACGGCAAGACCAGGTACAACAAACATGACGGTCATCATTACTATGATTTTACCTCGCCAGCACAATGCTGTTTCTTGGCCATCTACTTTCTTCACACATCTTTTTCTCTACACTCGCTCCGGTTTTTGCCGCTCATACCAAATAAATTAAACAACCCATCGTCACCTCGTCCTTCACCATCAACCAGTGCATGGAAAAACGAAGGTCGTGCTTGCTTGTACTCAATCAACTAGTTCCAGTGTTGATAACACCCTCCTTCGTTTCAATTGTCTAGAGGATAGCGTGTAGACTCACGCGCTGGTCGTCATCAAGTGATACGCGATGAGCCAGTACGACGTCTTCAGATCGCTCAGTCTCGGGCGCGTACGCAGGTGTGGACGATGACCGGCGATAGAAAGCGTTGGGGTCGCTGATACGAGACACTTTGCCGGAGTATCGGGGTTGGTACATGAGGTTGGTGTCACTGCGACGCGAGCTCGCGACGTAACTGTGACGCATGTCGTTACGGTGATCACTCCGGCGTGCAGACGCAGAGCTCCGGCGATGATACGTAGCCATGTCGCTTGGACGCAATTGATTCAGATCACTAGAGCGCACGGTTGAGGACCCGCTGCCGTACGAGCCGTTTTTTTCGTAAGAACTCCGAGGCCCGCGAGCAGCAGCTGCACCATAGGCCTGGAAGAATTTTTGCATCTCAAAACTCAAGCGCCCATCGGTACCGCCGCTCGAGCGCGGAGTAGATGATGTGTGAAGGGCATTGCCCACACCACTCTGGTAAAACTTGTCCATATCTCCAAGATCGATGACGGAGCGCACGCTCGAGGCCGTAGTGGTCTGCGATGCGTACGAAAAGTTAGATGCAATCGAGCGCGGCGATGAAAGACCACCCGAGGACGCGTAGCTGTTCGAGCGAAGACGGATAGGACCGGAGGAGCGACGTGACATTGATGATATTCCCTCAGGCGGCATTTCAGACGCAATGTCTTGCGCTTCACCGTTAATGTTTAAGGATGACGCGACAAGAGGGTTACTGTTACGGTGAGATGACTCCACACACTCAATGTGACGGGACGAAGACATCGATGACCTTGGACCGTAATCTACGTAGGCGGAAAGACGGTCTTCCTCATCGTCATCGGTAAAAGAACCTTGCGCCTCACGGCGCCTCACAAGACTGCTGGCATCCGCTTCGATGAAATCAAAATACTGTGTCTTCTGAATCCACTCTTCTGGGATGACGTCCAGGCCGTCCTGGGCAGCAAAGCAAGCACCAATAAACATGGCACGGCGACAAGTACGCCCGCCTCCAATTATGTTCTCGCGGACAGCAGTGGGGTAGTCATTCAACACAAAAAGCGGCTGCAGCACCGCGTGAAAGCCACCAGGCAGCGAACCTCGATTGCCAAACTTCTGAATAGCTTCGTAACTCGGTAGCTGTGACTTTGTGAAGGCCTTGAAAATGACCTTTCGCTGCTTGACACTGAGTCGTTCCGTGCGGATGCTCATACGCATCGCCTGTAAAACAGAAGCTCCAAGAATCACCTGCTCCAGAACAAAAGCGGCCACCAGTGCTGCATCACGGACGCGGGTGCCAACGTAAAACACCTTCACGAGCTCATCCACTTTAGTAAACAACTGATTGGTACCAGCATAGAGCGCCACCACAATCGGGATCAACGACAGGACGTCAATCGAGCGGCACTTGACGGCACAGTGCGGCCATCCCTTGCCAGAATGTACCCGCTTGATGAACGATCTCGACGACGCACTGAGCAGTCGATGGTCGTTCTTAAATCCCCAATACGCATCTTTGGCCAACTGTGAGCCATGAATGTGCCCTCGTCGTGCAATGCATTGCAGTAAAATGCGAGCTTCAAAGCCCGTGGACGACTCCATTCTTGCTCGTCCCCCTTTCTTGTCATTGCCGTCGTTTGTGCCATAGAGACCACAAAAGGCTGGATCAAAGTCCAGACGCAAGAGATTAGGAATCGTCTTCTCTGGATGAGAGACGCCATTGAGGGAAGTGGAAGCTGCATCGGCCACAAAGCCACCAATCAACGCCGCAAGGGCCCGTCGTCGTGCCGCAGCACTCAATGGCAAGTCGAGCGTAGCACTGGGCAATGGACGCTCAACAGCTTGTACAAATTCCGGCGTCGTGGCCGTAAATCGATAAAATTTCTTCTTATTGTACTCAAACTTGATCTCCTTCTCCACCTTTTCAATATAATGATGAGACAACAGACCTTGACCTTTCCGTACAGCTTCTGCTACACTCTTGGCTTCCATTTGCTCAAGCATCCAGTCCACGGCTTCCATTCCCGTAAAACAATCCCGATATTTCTTAAACAAATGACGACGACGATCGCCCGTGGCAACATTTTGTTTCATACGTGCTGCCAATCGCAGTAGCGCTTCCTCTACTTCCTGTTCCTGGTCGCCATTAGCGGCCGATGTCTCGGGCACACGCTCTACGGCTGTTGGCATTGAGAATCGCATTGGTAAAATGTATTAACACCAATTCAACTTGGTCTTAATTTGAAATAATGCCGTAAGAAATACACGAGCGAGATTCGACAACGGGTGACGGGACGACAAGAAAATGACTGGTTTCTACGCTGTAGAGAGAGAAGAGTGAGGTGAAAGACGTCCCGTTCAGTTCCATTAGGTATTAATCTCTGTGTCTTGTTGTTCAAAATTACTTGGTTTCACTATACTTCATAGCATGTGCGTGGTCGAGGCAGCCGCGATCCGACAGTTATGTAATCACTTGTCTTTACAATAGGAGACTGGCTCTTCTAGCCCCCCGCCCGTCTCCCGCTGCGATTAGCTAACATGTGACACAGAATATTATTAGGTGGTCACGACACTCACACTGGATATATATATATATAGATAGGACCAAAAGAACGGTCGAGCTTAAATGTACAAAATCTAAAGCTCTGAAAATGGGTATATATGTGCCTATTGGACGCAGACACTAACCCATTTTCGAAAAGAAAAAAAAGAGCCAACCACAAAAACGAGCCGCTAGCTTCAGACAGGACATGGGCTCAATGACCTTCAACGTCTCAGCTGTATTCTAGATCTAATTGACGGTGCTTGCTAGCTTCATGTCGACTCGTAAATGTATATTGCAAGGCACGAAATACATGTCTATATGTCGAAAGAAGTTGTGGATACGACCACGTGCATCAACAGGAAGAGAAAAAACTACTTAATGGCTGCGTTCGTCAGCGCTATGTACTGCCAGCTGGAGGTGACATAAACACGTCTATGCGGGGAGAGACAGGAATAAGTACAGTACGATCTCGGCAATCGCAAGACTATCCACTTGGTCGTTACATTGCAATAGCCGATGGTTGTTTAGCGAGTCTTCGATGAGGTATGGATGGGTAATAATACCTTCTGGTCTGCGTTGACCTTTCGTTACCGTCGGCGCCAAAAGACATCGACATCGTCGTCATCGAACGTCTCAGTCTATTGGTCTTGCGCGCGTGTGTGTGTGAGTGTTGCACAGTCAAAAATCGTCTTCCGCAGAAATGAGGACGCATGAGATATTAGCTACGTATGGCATGGAAACCTCTTGTGCAATACTCCCACTCTTGTTGTCGGTGTTTCACCTGATGGTACGTACTTCCCATCCACGCGTTCGACCAAGTTGACGATACGACTACTGTACAATAACTCAACAAGACCCTAAACTTCAAACATATAGAACGATTTCTAGACCATTTGAATTATCCAAATGGTACCTCATAAACGTGCTGCGGTAATGTATTTGGTAGAGCAGCTGAACCACCTTAGCATCTGCTTCATAGGCATCTGCACAACAGTTGCGTCGACTTGTTCGTAAAAGTCCTCGAGTGACAGCGTTCAACACTTATGCACCTGTTTTTCTCTTGTCTCTCGGTCTTCGACGCTTGAAAACCAATTGAAAAAGTTCGCTGATGAAAAGGTTTGTCCATCGAAGCATGCATCACCTCCAATGGCGCGAGCTTCTTTTTCGTCTCATCAGTCCATACGTTGTGAGCTGCACCTTGATGTACTGTCAGCATTGGCAAAACTTTGTACTGATTCCCGTTCCCACTAATCAATGTGGTCGATGAACTTGAACTGTTAGCAAAGGGGGGGGGGCGATCTTCTCACTTTCGTGAATGCCCATGCGATTCTTTTGCTTTTCCATTATGCTTACTCTTCGTGAGACGACAAGGTACTTTCGTCCGAGCGTTGAAACACGATCTCCTCCATGACCTCCGAGTTCTTCATTACTTCCGTTGAAGCCATTTGCCAGCAAGTAGTTTCGATTGAGTTATTAGCATCGAACGCCACGCTGACCAGGTAAGCAGTGCTAGCGGTATATGATGAAGAACAACCGTCGTTGAGGTTGATACTACTGCACACGGAGCTTAAATGCGTCCAGGACTCGGGTCTGTGTCGCGTGATTCTGGCAAGCGCTCAAGTCCCAAATGATTTATTGCGTAGGTCCATAGGCTGGCGATGCTTCAGTCGCTGCCTTTGGCGATCCAATGTTTGACAAAACTAGGTCAAGAGACAATGTGCTGCTGAATGCTTAGCATGTGATGCAGCCGTGTCGAATAAATATAGCTGTCATCACCGCACCTGGAGCCCGACCGGGACCAAGGTATCTAGAGCCGCTCCGGACGAGTACCATGAAGAGCCTCTCGCGTCAAATTCTCGAAACAAAGTCTGATCAGGATCTTCGGGCACGACCTTTTTGCGGCAAAACTTATGACAACAATGCGGTCTAGCACGGCAGTCATGACTGGTGGTTCGTACACATGTATACCTGCCTACTTGGTGTAAAAGCCATTGTAGTCTAGCCGCGTACACAGATTCGACAGGTGCGAGTTTTGCTGTCAACACGAACACGTATTACATACATAGATTAGCAACACAGCAAGGTTTACAGACGTAGATAATGTCCACTTTCCATACCTGTAAGAGCGACCTACGTAGCAACTGCTGCATGAACTCGCCAAGCAACGAGCCAAACTGATTCTCCAAGTCATTAGTCATTCGCACGAAAGGATTCTCTTCGTCACCTTTTCGCTCCGTCAGTGCGCGCTTCACGTCATCCGACAGCTTCTTAATGCGTGTGCGTCGCATGTCCATCTGCGAGGAGGACTCCCGACGCCTTAGGACGCCCCGTTTCTTTTTCCCTCCAAAAGTCCCCTTCTGACGTTGGTAGCTCGCCAGAGCGACTTCTGCTTCTTCACGTGCCTTCTTCTCAGCTCGACGATCTCGCTCAGCATCGCGTTCGACCTTAATGGTCTCTTCATCGAGGAAATATGGCCGTGTAAAGCTTTCGATGCTGTTGGCAAAGGTCATACACACCATCATGAGCCTCGTTAGAACTCGCAGTAGGTCTGGATCCGTTAGCAAACATTCCTTCAGACATATATCAAGAAACTCGCCCTGAAACTCCAATATGTCGTCCACGGTGCCCGCAGTCGCTAGTTGCTGCTGGAAATCGTGCCATCGAGGAGAGATAACCTCAAACATCATGTAGTACACAAAGTTCTGCTGAAAGTGCAGCATTCGCTGACGTAAACAAAATGACGGTCCAAGCGCAGAGCGCAGTGGCAACTCTTTTGTTGCCTGATGATTCAGCCAGGCATCACAAAGCTGGCGCTCTACGTGCTTGCAAAAGAAGATGTGCCGAAAAATCATTTGGTACTTAGTCAGCGCGCCGCACGAGATCACGAGTGATAGAGGCCACTTCACGTTGTAGTCAAGCGTAAACGCATCAATCACCTTATAACCTGGGTGGCCTATGGACGAAGACTCGAATGTCGTTAGTGAATCTCCAGGTCCCTTTTGCGCACGCTGGTGAATGGCCTCCATGTGAGAAATGAGGTTATGCGGTGACAAAAAACACTGTAAGTCATCCTTATACGGGTCCGAAGAGCAAGTAGACGTTTGAAGTGACAAATGGAGTAGAGATTCTAGGCGAGACAACGACAATTTGTCCGCACGTAGTTTCAGCTCTTCTTCCGCAATGTCCATAAAGTCAACAAAAAAGTCTCCTTGATCCATTAGAAAATAATGCTTTAACGAGATCAGCCGATTCTGGAGGTCACTTTCGCGCACAAACAAATCCAAGAGCATTCTACTCGCAAACCCATGCGCCTTGTCAATTAGATCTTCGTATACCGATTCGCTAGCAGAAAATTTTATGTCACCGGCAAACGGGCAATCCACCTGACGATTGCATGTGCGAAAGACATTCAGGTACTTGCCCGCAGTTAAGATTTTCAGCGCTACTCGTGAAAGAAAAAGCGGCACCTGTGATGCACGAACCGTGTAGCGACTTTGCCAGTATGTCGAGTATGGATTATCTTGAACATCCTCTTTGCTCACTTGATCATCTCGTCGGATCATGAATTCATCGTAAGGATCTACTAGATCTCCGTGGTAAATCCAACGTTCAACCATCTTTAAATACGGCACGCTGGCGCGCTCCATCAAGAAAGAGAACACCTTGCGTGCATTTGAGTCTCCTGCTAAAGACGACATTATTCGCTGAATTTCAGTAAGTAACGAGCCGCCGCCAATTGTTTTACGGCAAGCGTCCACCAATAAACTTAGCATTTCCAACGTCCGCAAGCTCGGCTGCACGTTGTACCACAGTTTCTGTATAGTGAACGGCACTGAATCAGAACGTCTTGTCTGATGCTCTAGCTGTCCCACCATTATCTTGTACTCTTTGACCAGCGTCTTCAGCGCTGCGCAAAGTGCGTGGTTTACCTGCCCGTACTCATATCGAGAAAACTTCTCAATGTAGAGCGTCAATTTCAAATAAGACTCGCCCAGAGATAAGCATCGAGATGCCAAGGTTAGAAGAGGAGGATCCATACCGGGTTGATCCAGCTCGAATTTAAACGACCTTGTACGTTTGGCAGCATCAACGTCACGCGTCTCGGTGACTAGTTTGATATAGCGGCCTTCCACGCCAAGAAGGACGTACAACAAGTCGTCCACTATGGCCGATTCTTGCACTGATGGAGGATACGTAGACAGTTGGGGCGGATTCAAATCGACATCATCTGCAGCATGATATCGTTTTGCTTGTGGCAGTACGAGTGCCTCACCGGTCAGATAAAGACGTTCACGATTCCATTCCGGATCGTACGGCAAGTTCGACTTTGTCACCTTCCAAATCTGTATTGTATCGCTGATTCCATCATTCTTTTTGCTAAGTACAACTGTGGTAGAGTTTGTGCCTGCAATGTCGTTATGGCCGTACCGGTCGGGGTGCACGGCAATACAGAGATCAGCTTTGTTCATCTTGAGCATAATATTGTCACTCGTTGCAATTGCTTTCTGTTGCTCCCACAGCCTGCTAGCAGTGTCTACCGGCGCAAAAGCATCCTGGTTACTTCCAGCATAGTCCTTGCGAATTTCCACGATAGGGTTTACAATTTTCCACTTTTCACTGTTAGAGATCACCGGTCCTTTCTTCGTAGTCAGAGTCTGAGTAGCTACATCTGCGGACAAGAACTGACCTTTGCAGCTTCCTCCCACACAATATAACGACACAATGTCTGAAAAATGGACTTCCCCACAATCCGATCGTAGTGTCGTGTTTTGCAGTACAAAAATCTGGTCATCATCACCATCGAGTCCATCCCCACTGACATTAATTTGCACTGTACTCGACTGTTTTGCAGTGCGAGCAATGCCCCCTGTTCCATTGACTTCTGTACTTGTTTCTGTCGGCCTTGGTGGCAAATGTATTGGTACTTTTTGATACAGTTTCTTGTCTTTTCGTGCTGATATTCTCAGACATTGTCGACTACTGAGTCGTAATCGAATTGGTGAATTGTATAGAATCTCAGCGCCACATCTTGATGGTTCTCCTTGCTCTTCTCCTCGTTCTCGATAAAAAGTCCGGCCCAAAGACGGTGAGATCTTGGTATATGAGCCTGCAAATTTAGAATTAGAAGCTGTAAATTTTGATGAATAAGGAGCTGTAGATAGCGTCGAAGGAGGTGTTTTTTTCGAGCCCAAGAGACTGTCAACACGACTGAGCATTGCTCGATGAGGTGACAATTGCATCGAAAACGGTTTTAAAGGCTCGGAACGTCGTTCAGGACGTACTGGAAGCTCAATATTCGTGCTATTGTTGATACTGTACACGGAAGATACGTCACTGGGATTCGTTGACGTTGTATGGCTTGTATTCGTGCCACTGAGATGAAGAATGTTGGTCATTTCTTGACGTTGTTTTTCCATTTCTAGACGCGTTCGAGGCGATAAGGGATCGTCATTTTTGGTTCCATTTGTAGCTGGAAGAGATGAAGAAGATGTATATGATGAGGAGATATTGTCAGAGCGATGGTAGGAGCTAGAAGAGGCATCGAGAGGAGGCGGAGGAGGTGGTGCTTCGTCCTGTGGCATTTGAATGATATGGAATGCGCACTAGTTCGATTAAGTACGAAAGAGAGGGCTTTGTGTCTGTTAAGTACGAAAGAGGCCTATGTGCCTGATAAGTACGAAAGAGGGCTTAAGTACGAAGGGTAATGTTGATTGAAAGTAGTGGACAAGTATATACAAAGTCAAAGATAAATTTAATCATGCGGGTTCGTGAGTATACGAGATGATGGTTTTATATAGAGGTGGTAATATTTCGGTGGTAATGAATGACTACAGTTACTAGTTTCAATTGGGCTGGTGGTTCTCCTACCACTTCTATGGTTCATTGGTGTTATTTTTACACCTGGAGACGAGACGGGAGGAGTTTTGGCCTTGTCCGTAGCAAAGTGAGTCATCATCGCCTGTTGTTATTACGAATGTTTAAACCGATGTTTTAACGTGTTTTAACGATTTAATGGGATGTGGTTTTTATAGTGTGATTCTTCGTCATATTCGACCATGGGTTTATATTACTGCGGGATTTTATCACCCGTCCATTGTCCAGGTGACATTCTCCAATCGAAATGGATATTATCTCATCATTTACTGACTTGTTGGGATTGTTTCATGTGTCGTTATAGCTGGTGTTTCTCGTTCCTCTGGCTTTTGGATTGGCAAAACGGGTGGAACCTGAACTTGGTTCGTTTAATCTTGTACGACTGCTGCTGTTTGCCAACACTGCAGCAGCATTGGCTCTTTTTGTCAACCTTTTCGTGCTCTACATTATTTTTCGCAATCCCACTTACCTGTATATATAATTGCTATGATTATTCTTTGAGCTTTTTTAAAGTATCTGATCACTTGTTGTTGGGACTAGGGAAGCGAGCTTTTCTGGTTTTACGGGTGGAATCACAGCCTTGTTGGTGGCATATATGAAGCCGGCGCCATTTGCAACGGCATCATTGCTCCCTGGACTCAAGTTGCGAGTATGTTTTGTTTTGTGGTGCTCCAGCTGATCTGTTGCTGTTGTTTTGTGAGCTCATGAGTGTGTGTGATTTGTTCTTTAGTTCTATCCGCTTGTAGCGTGCATCGCTTTTTCACTTTGTACAATTGCTGGAATCGTTTTTCCTGCTATCCCGGCTGTTAGTTTGAGTGCTGGTCCATTCTCTGTGCTTGGAGGCTACTTTGGATGGTACTACCTTCGTTTTTACAATAAGAACCGAGACCGCACTGTCGGGAACGTGTCGGACGAATTTGCACTGGTGGTTTTGTTTCCGGATATCTGCTCGTACGTACTATTCTATGGCTAATATGTTAAAACTCTTGCATGATTGTTAACATTCTAACGTGCTTATAACAGACCACTCATAGGTCCTCTTGCAAACTTCTGTTTCAGCGTGGCCAAGCTTTGTGGTTTTTTCAAGAAGCGCATAGCACAGAAACCCAAAATGCTGCCGATCCTTACAGTACGAGAAACGGAGGCACATGTTTGAGCCATTCAACTCTTTAACTTGTTTTGTGTGAAATATGATGCAGGAGATTAAGAATGACCCGATCGCTGAACGTCGAAAGTGAGTAGACAGTGTTGACACGTGCTGCTGGTTCGTACTACGAATTAACTTGCTTACTTTTTGACTGCAGAGCGCGAGCAATGAGAGCACTGGACGAAAAGCTGGCGAAGCTAGCTCATGCTCGGAATGACAATGGAATGTCGCCTATGTTGTCTGTGGAAGTACATGACGACGAAGATTAAATTGCAATCAACGGTAGTGGATCGTGTTCCCAACGATCAGTGAGATGACGAATAGAAAATTACCGACATGAAATGCTCGCTTCATCTGGATTTGTGGCTGCTTAAGTATTTCGATCCATGATCGAACAAGTGCTGGCATTTGCCCTACCATCCTTGTCCGCATAAACGTGTCACATTACAAACGGTAGACATAAATGTATCTATGTCGGCCAGATTGTGTACATGGATACATTTATGTCCACCACTTCGATTCTCCTTTTGGCTTTATATAATTATTTAGCGTCGATATTGTACAGCCGGTGACGTGGCAGCTACTGCCACACACTTATGTTTTAAATTCCATACTGTTTTTTAAAATAGTAATAAAACGACGAGTCGACCGAGTGTATTGCAATATATTCTCATGACTGTTTATAGTTGGGGTCGTGGGGAAGATGGTCAATTGGGACTAGGAGATACAAGTGATCAGCATCGTCCTGTACCTGTGGATGCACTAGCAGAGCGTCGGATTGTACAAATTGGATGTGGTAGTGGTCACACTGTCGTTCTTACAGGTAAAAATAAATATTGTCCAATAATTGTATGATAAAAATGTATATTGTTCATTATTGTATGGTGTATGTATAATTGTACACTGGAGTATACAATAATTGAAAGGTATAATTATTAATATATATATTTGATACTTTGCAATAATTGTAGATGAAGGAGAAGTGTATACATGGGGAAGAGGTGATGATGGACGTCTTGGACATGGAGATAATGGCTGGAAATTTGTACCACGATTGGTTGATGAGTTACGAGGCAAGAACATTCGTCAAGTTACATGTGGAAGTTACCATACAGCAGCTGTGGCAGTCTCTGGTGATCTGTATACATGGGGTGGTGGAATGTACGGGAAATTAGGACATGGCAATGAGACGGGCCATTCAACACCTTTTTTAGTAGAGACACTGAAGGGGATGCAAGTACGACAAGTGGCCTGTGGTAGTCGTCATACTGTGGTGTTACTAGAGAATAAGGACGTGTATACATGGGGTGATAAAGAGAATGGTGTGTCGGGACATGGAGATACTGAAGGCCATCAGTATCTTCCATGTCCAGTGGAAGAATTACGTGGCAATTCTATTGTTCAGATTTCAGCTTGTGGGTTCCATACTGCAGCATTAAGTGAATCTGGAGAAGTTTTTACGTTTGGAGAAGGAAAATTTGGACGTTTGGGACATAATACGGAACGAAATCAACCTGTAGCACGTTTTGTAGAGGCTCTGGCGGGAAAACGTGTGAAACAAGTGGCCTGTGGTGGGTTTCATACGGCAGCTGTGACGGAAACAGGAGAGGTTTATACATGGGGTGGAGGTGAACATGGTCAACTTGGACATGGCGACAAGGTGAACAAAACGGTTCCTACACGAGTGGAAAATCTTATGGATAAACTGGTTGTGCAGATTACGTGTGGATGGAGTCATACAGTCTCACTCACCGATACAGGCGAGGTTTATACGTGGGGAAATGGAGATCACGGCAAGCTTGGCCACAATGACACTACTAAGGTCACGTTGCCAAAGCTAGTGGATGTGCTTGAGGGGAAACGCGTGATCAGTATAGCATCTTACAACGAACATACCGTGGCCCTCGTGGACCCTGTAGCAATGCTGCGTGCTTCCATGCTGACATCTTCGTACATTGGAGATATGCGCCAGCTCATTGACAGCGCTGAATTTTCGGACGTAACGTTCCTCATCGAAGGACGTGCCATCCATTCACATCGTGCTATATTAGCCGCACGCAGTGACCACTTTCGTGCAATGTTTTCATCCGGCATGCGCGAATCTCATGAGCAAGAAATACCTTTGATGCATACTCGAGTGCCAGTCTTTCTAGCGCTACTGGAGTATATATATGTTGACTCGGTCAATGTGGGGGCAGAAATGGCGCTGGAGTTGTATGCCGCTGCTGACCTGTACACACTGGACCGTCTAAAGGGCCTCTGCGAGATTATCGTGCAAAAGAATATTAATGTTGACAACGCCGCTGCACTGTTCCAGTCTGCTGACGACCTGCACTCTTACCGATTACGTGAGATCTGCTTGTCGTACATGGTGCAGAATTTCGATATGGTCACAAAATCTGACGGTTTTGCCAGTCTTTCACGTGACCTTATCCTAGAGGTTTTGCAGAATCGGTAGAATATCAAGCAGGCGCCAAAGACAAAGCATCCCTGAATTTCGCTTTCATGCATGCTCTCGTGCTTAGCCACTTCAGAAGGAAGTTCCCTCCTAATGTATACGAAAAACAGCTATCATTATTACAACAACTGCTGCCTTTTCAGGCCACATTCGATTCATCCTGGCCTGTGATTTTCTGGAAGTTCCAGTCATGCACCTCGATACGCTTGCCTACGTCTTCGAGATTCTTCGTCATGATTTCCAGCCAGAACTCAGCTAGACGGAGCTCGGCTTCAATTGACACGTACTTTATCTCGGCACGGTTGTAATCACTATTGCTCTTGAGATACGCGCGGTGGCTTTCGCGCTGCGCCTGACGCTTCTTCTCCATCATAGGGTTCACGACAGGGTTCACAACAGGGGAGTTCGTGTGGAGATTTCCGTTGGCGCCCGTCGACTTCGTGGGCGTCAAAGCACTAGTCTGACCACCATGTGGGAAGGAAGTTGTCACGCGGTCCGATGTAGCAATCGACTGTACTGGTGCTGATGACCCTTGTATTGTCATTGAGGACGAAGAAGCGCAGGCGTCTTGCTGCAAGGGACGACGATTGTGCACTTGGTGATGGTTGGAGCCATAAGCAACATCATGAATGTTGTCAACTCTGTGGTCATGGTTACCAGTAGTGGATAAGCAATGCTCATCTGAGACTCTGTCCCCTTTGTTTGACTCCTTCAGGTCCTGCTTATCATCCGTAGTACCTGCAGCTTTTGTCTTTGGTGACGTACCAAATGATGAAGTAGGAAATTCAATCGGCGACTGCTTGGCTGGAGTGTCCGTATATCGTCTGTCCATATTGCGACTACTACTGCGACCATATGATGAACTAGATCGTGCATGATAACTTCGACGTCGACGTGAATGAGATTGTGATCGTCGATCGTGACTACGGCGACGAGGGCTGGAACTGCATTGATGTTGGCTGTAACAACGTGAACTGGGACTCCGTTGACGTAATCTTTCCCGTCGGGGGCTAGGACTACGTCTGCGTTGTGGACTGGGACTAGGACATTGTGAACTACCACTACGATCTCGTAAACTTGTAACACTACGATGACGTCGTAGACTGGGACTGTGACGACGTGGACTTGACCGACGTCCGTGGTCACCTCTAGGACTTGACCGACGTCCGTGGTCACCTCTAGGACTTGACCGACGTCCATAGCCACTTTTAGGACTCCGTTGACGTGGCGTAGAACTCCTGCTTCGTGAATAATGACGTCGAACGTGATGATCGGGACTACGACGTCGTATTGGACTGAGACTTTGCTGACGATTATGACGTCGTATTGGACTGGAAATTGCGTCCCGATGATTTTGACTCGTCACATATCGTTCCCCACTGCGACTTGTACTTTTTCTTCGTCTTTTGCTTTGTCGAATGTTGCTTGAATGTCGTTTCCGATCCTGAGGTCGTTCGTAGCTACCACTTCGTCTGTCTTGACAGTGAGAATGAGCTAATTGTTCTTTTGTTTTCCATTCTTTCGGACCATTTGGGGAAGCGTGTGATTGATGACGTATCGTACTTGGACTTTGACTACGACTGCGATGTCGGGAGTCACGATTGAAGGTACGATGACGCGCCGGTGAACGACTCAAACTGGGCGAAAAGCGACGACGTCGACGATCCATTAGTGTGAACAAAATATGGAGACTGGTGTGGTGTACCATAATTGATGTACCATATGGATGGTACAATGGATTTTATCCAATGAACACACGCATCGTCTTGTTAAATACTAACAAGAGTACCGTATACCCTTTCGTATTCGAACACTGCTGTACCTATTTTAGCATGATACTGTACTATTCGCAGATGGCTACAAAAAGGTCTGGTCTCTCATGAAAACCTTGTTGAGATATTAGATACTATAGGCATGGGATACAATTGTCTTGTATCATCTGCATTTTGCACATCTGTCTGTCTGTCTGTCTGTCTGTCAGTCAGTCCTGTTGCAAGTCCATTCGGCGTCTAGTGAAAAAGCTGGGACACTGACTTCTTGCCATGAATATTCTGGATAGCCTGCGCTAGCAATGGCGCAATGTCCAATTGCACAATCTTTTCATTGCCCTCACAGCTCTTCGGCAGCGGCGTCGTATTGACGACCACGACCTCTTTCAGTGCTGACTTCTTAATGCGTTCACTAGCGGCGCCATTGAACAGACCGTGCGACGCAAACGCGTACACGTTACGAGCCCCATGGTCTACCAAGTGCTGCGCAGCCTTGCACAACGTACCGGCCGTGTCAATCATGTCATCCACGATAATGCAATCCGAGCCCTCGACTTGACCCACGAGGTCCATACGGTCAATCTCACCAGCTTTAATACGCTGCTTAATGATCATAGCCAGCCCTGTATTGGGAAGACCGTGCTTGCCAACAAGCCACTCCCGAAACTTCTTGGCACGTGCAACACCACCAGCATCAGGAGACACTACAACGGGATTCACAAGTTCATGACTGCCAAAGTATGAAACACCAACAAGTCCACCATCCAAATTATCCACGGGTACATGGGGTCCAAAAAAGCCTTGGATTTGACCACAATGAAGGTCTACAGCAATGACACGATCAACACCCATAGCTTCCAGTAAACGAGCCACATCAGCAGCTGAAATGGGTACACGAGCCGCCATTTTTCGATCTTGACGTGCATAGCCATAGTACGGAATGACCGCCGTAATACGACGTGCAGACGAGCGTCGCATTGTACTCACCATAAGCAATAACTCCATGAGATTTTCATTCACAGGTACACACGTTGGCTGGACAATGTACACGTCTTTTCCCCGTACGTTTTCATGAACCATGAGATTCACTTCTCCATCAGCAAATCGTTCGACGGTAATTTTTCCCAATTGAACCCCCACAAGTTTTGCCACATTTGCTGCAAGTTCATGATTTGCATTCCCACTAAAGATTTTCAAGCCATTGATTTTGGGTTGTTTGGCTACCGCTGCAGCTAAGGGGAACGAATCCTCCGATAATGCAATGGATGATTGCAATGGATGATGTTGTATACCCAAAGTACAACCTGCAGCTGCAACACCTAAAGCCAATGTAGCAGATGAAATGCGGCCAGAACGAGCAAGAAAATGACGAAACATTATGGACAAGACGAAGAATATGCCAATGAAGGGATGTACCCACTATCAAGATGGCTGGTTCATGTGGTGATGATGTGTACCACACTATTTCATTTCATACGTGTCCGTATTGTACATGTCTCCTAAAGTAATGTGGTTTACATACATCATACGAAAAGTTCAGAGACCTCCCTAAAACGAACGGCTACAGTAAAAAATCACAAGAATGACTCGTGTCTTACTCATTGATAATTATGATTCGTTTACGTATAATATCTTCCAAGTAACGGCTAGTTCATTACAGTTACAATCATAGTAATGTATCGTGTGTCTAATACTTTCTCTATGTGTACTTTTTCGTAGTATATGGCTCAACTGGGAGCTCAGGTCGACGTCAAACGTAACGATGAGATTACAATTCAAGACATTTATGCCATGAATCCCGATCGTATTATGATTTCACCTGGTCCAGGATATCCAAAAGATGCAGGTATATCCTGTGCTGTCATTCGTGAATTTGCCGGTAAAATTCCCATTGCAGGGGTTTGTCTGGGTCATCAGTGTATGTTTGAAGTTTTTGGTGGAAAAGTTGATCATGCGGGGGAGATTATTCATGGAAAAGCTTCCGTTATGGAACATGATGGCAAGGGGCTGTTTAAGGGCATGGCACCTGAATTTAAAGCCATTCGCTATCATTCGCTCGTGGGACTACCGGAGACGCTACCGGACATTCTTGAAGTCACGGCTACTGTCAAAGGCACCAACATGATTATGGGTGTCCGACACAAGGAGTTTAAAGTGGAGGGCTGGCAATTTCACCCCGAGAGTATTCTCACTGAAGATGGGCTGAAGCTCATGCAGAACTTCCTAGACATGTGAAGAAGAGCGTTAAACGCGCCGTTTAAGGACGATTGCCAAGTTCAGATGAAACAGTACGAGTAAACTGTATGGGTTGCTGTTTTTTTCCTGTTCGTGTTCTATTCCATACAGAGTTACTATGCACTTGGGAGTACTACAGTTGCAGGGGACAGCTAAATGCAAACACACGGTAACAAACCAAGCGATACAAATACTTTTAGGAAAGCTGCTTCTCTAGCAGAAAAAAATCATGAGTTTCTGGCGGCTCCGGACTATACTTGATAATGCTACTCACACGCCGACTGCAACAATATTCTAGTCTTCTGAGAAGATAAAGGTCAGGTCCTTCTCGGACTCTGGGACAGAAGACGTAGGTACGAACTGAACAAGTGCAACGTAAGTCAGCGCACTTACGTTTTCCGTCCACTCCTTTGCTAACACTAAACGCACCTGTAATTGATCAATCGATGGCCGGTTCTCCATGGACCAAGATAAAAACTTTTGGAATTGGTGCGTACTCATCGCGTTCCGTGATTGATGCAGGATCGTCTACAAAAGAAGAAGCAACCGTTAGTGGTTGCGACACATATCAGCAGATGCACAACTCATATGAAAGCGAAACAAACCTCAATGCCCGGGACATAAAGCCAGTCGTGTGCGCGCAGTGCAGAAAAACACTTTCGAATTGCGTCAAGCTTGCGCGCTTCTTCGCTCGCGGAAACGGCGAAGCTTGCAATCCGCTGACATTGATCATCCGTAAGACCAAGTTGCGTTCTCAGAGACAGGAACAACGTAGCGTTGTCCGATGCCACTGCAATCAATGCTTGGTTTTCAGCATTAGCACGACGAATCTGAACACAAAGATATAGTTGTCAGCTCTCCATGTCCTCATTCCATTTCCCAAAAAAACATACTGCATCCGTATTTCGCGAGTGCTGACCGAGAATACGTGCCATTAATTCCATCTTAGCATCCTTCGACATGAGTGCATGACGAAGATGTTCCCCCGAGCTGTTTTCTGCTCCACCAAGACAATTACACACCCATCAACCTCTACCCACTCTCAAAAAAACTCACACCGCCATCTTGCTCTTTCCATACCCAAAGCCGCTGCTAATTCTTCTCCATGACCAGTACCAAATTCATGATTCTTGAGCATATTCAATGAGCTTTCAAGCTTTGATACTTCTCCTTCATACGTCTCGACCATTCCCTTTTTCTTTTCACGTCGTACTCTAGCTGAGGCTCGATTTCGTTCCAATCTTCTTTGTCTTCGATCATCTTCTTCTTGTAATTTTTGATAGATTGACAATAAATCCGGGGTCCGCATAATCTGTTTAATCTCTTCTGAGCCCACGAGCGATGGGTCTGTGCCACTTACACGTGCTAAAAGTGCTGTATCCATTGCTAAACCACCTGTACTTGCTGCAAATTGTGCTGCTGAGATCTGAGAGACTGGGATAATATCTTCTTGTGTCTTGGATATTCTGCAACTCGTCAAATGTGTCCGTTTATCCGTCCCTGGCATCATTTGAAAGCTTCTAGCACCATTTTCTTCCTGGAATGTCATCCCACGCATCCCATCGGATGGACTTATGTGTACTACATCAAGTCGAGAGCTTTTTGTGACGCCTTAACGTATAGAACGAGGATGCATAGTCAGAATATCCAAGGATTTTTCGTCGGATTTTTGGTGGATATGGGTACAGCGCTGAGAAAACTGCGATTTACGTACCTGATTGTGTACGATAATTATAACTATAAGAAGGAGATATAGATACACCTTGAGACGATGGAGGCATGTACGACGGAAGCGAGGACGGAAGGTCACTCTCCTCGCCATCATGACCATTATGTTGATGCTGCATGGATTTTTTGTCGAATATTTTAGAGATTTTATCAGGATGTCACTATTGCAAGGAGTTGGATATTAGTGGATATTGCCCTTATAGAGAGTATTGGAGCTTCCCGCCAAAAAAAGGCAAGTACTGTACGTTACGTTACTATATATCAATGGGTATCGATGGATTCTTGCGCCAGCTTAGCGATGCTGTAGATAAGACCCATGTACAACGCTTTACAGGCCAGACATTGGTCGTAGATGCATTATCATGGCTGTACAAAGCGTATGTCGCTTTATTTCGTTATCTCTTTTTTTCTGTAGCTTTAGACTAATGATCGTTGCAATTGTCCTGCAGTTGTTATGGCTGTGCTTTGAAGCTCTCAATAGGCCAAGAGACGGATAAATACGTTCAGTATATGCTCCGTAAAGTAAACATGATACGAAGCTATGGAGTCGCCCAGGTTGTTCTGGTCTTTGACGGCCAGAGACTGCCGCTTAAGGTACAAGACAAACAAACCAACAATCGACACAGACAACAAGAGCTGCAGAGACTCATTGACGACATTGTTTTGTAGTCTTTGACACAGGAGAAAAGGCAAAAGCACAAGGAAGAGAATCGGAGTCGAGCATTGCAAGCTATGGCAGTCTCAAAGCAACTACAAGGAACTGATCGACAGGATGAAGTCAATAAGGCCTATCAACTCTTCCAGAGAGTGAGGTGTTGCACTTTTAGATACGACAAGCAGACTGTATTGACTCTGTTTCTGTGGTTGCTATGGTGGTGATTGAGCTAGTCAGTCTCGATCACCCCACGGATCATTTCTACAGTCATAAATGCATTGCGAGAAGCTGGCATCCCGTTCGTTGTAGCACCATTCGAAGCCGATGCACAGGTCTGTTTACTTCTTGCAAAGAATTGATCGTGCTGTCAGGAGTCTTTCTGCTAACGTAGTGGTATACTACTTTATAGATGGTGTGGATGTGCAAGGAGGGCTTGGCAGCAGGAATTGTGACGGAAGATTCGGATGTGGTAGTTTATTGCCTCACTGCCAACGTCTCGTGCCCTGTTCTTGTCAAACTGGAGGACAATGGCACTGTTCAGGTAAAATGAGTGACTAGTTTAGGTATAGCTGTAAGTGAGCGAAGGCTTTAGTTACTAACCAAAGTTGTTCGCTCTGATAGGCTGTGTCGCGCTCCATTCTTCACAAGAACTCGGCGAAGACTTCTTGTACGTTGTTTGCTGACCAGCATTGCTCTTTATTGTTTTTCTAAGCCTTGTACATCCCTGTTGCCTTTGCAGCAAACGCCTTGCTGAGGAAAATTCATTATCTCACCTCAGGGGAAAAAGAAGCCACACGGATGTTTGTGCAAGCGTGTGTTCTAGCCGGCTGCGATTTTATCGACTCGCTTCCGAACATGGGATTTGCCGTAAGCACGCAGCTTATAGCACTTTTTCTGAATCTTTTTGCCGGCTAACGCTTGTTGACGTTGTGATATCGATACTAGACTGCAGTTAAACACATCTTCAATTTTCGCGGTGCACCCGCTCACTTGCGAGTCCAACGGTTGATGAGCAAGCTTTCGAGTTCAGGCACAAAGATTCCAAGCAACTTCATGCAGGAGTTCTTCAAGGCAGAAACCATTTTCTTCCACCACATCATCTTCAATCCTCAGAAACGCAGCTGTGAGCTTCTTGTCGATGAGAAACACATTAACTGTTTTCCTGACGTTCTGCAGCGCGCGAAAGAATCGCTAGGCATCACATCTACAGACGAAGTAGGCCTAACGTCAAACACCCAACAGGAAGATCTGCATGCAGTTGCCACGTCGACAAAGAGCTTTCTTGGAGAAGTCCTGTCACGCGAGATTATCGAGCAAATATACAAGGGTGAAGTGTGTGCGCGAACGCTCTGCCTTCTTTCCGATAGCCCCACAAGCTCACAAAAGCATGAAAGCTTCACTGGGTCGCAGAGTGGACAATCGTTGACCGCACTTCGTGAAACCCGCAGTAAATTTAACAATCACGCACGCAAGATCAGTCAAGGATTTTCTGCAATAGTTAGGCAAAGAGAAGTCAAGCAGCTTTCACCCATTGCGACAGCTCGGCAGAGTGAGATCAAGAAGTGCTTGCAGGCTAACAAACGTGCTGAATCACTGCAAACTCTGATGAGCGTTTACAAGACCGCAAGTGTAGTGGCAACAGCCGCAACAAACGAAGCAGTGAAGCAGTCGACTTTGACAGTAAGAACTCGAGAAACGGATTCAAAGCACTTCAACGGGGGCAAAAACAACTCAAAAGCTGATGTACTCGGAGCTTCGGCTAGCATACTATCGTCAACTGTTTCAGAAGTCAAGGCGTCCAAGGTAACTGCAATGAAGGATCTTATTGCAAAGCATTCTTCATCTGTCCAAGCAGCAAAGTCTCGAAACGTTCAAAAAAACTCACTTATGAAAGTCGCATCGCAAAGTGCCCCCGAGTCTAGAAAGAGGTCACAACCCGCAACAAAATCTGAAAGCAGCAGTGCTTTCTGTAAGAAAGTTCGACCCCTCGAGCAAAAGTCGATGCCGGATGGCAGTCGAACAACCTTGTTTGACTTTTTTCAGCAACAACAATAAAAAGTTAATCAAGAAACAAAAAGTGCAGTCCAAATGCTTCGTATTGTCTTCAGCTGATAGATCAGCTTGCATCAACGTGGCATCAACTTGTTCTCATTGTCGTCACTTGTTCATCTCTTCGATTCGTACTCCCGTCTCAAATCCGTTCTCCTCCTGAAGATGTTTTTTGATAAGTTTCGAGATATTCTTAAATTCGGGATTACTGGCATCATGAGTCAATTGAAAAATAGCAGACTCGACGGATGTGATATAGGCACCCGATTGTCGCATACGATCTAAGGCTATGGAACGATTGTAACTCGTAGAGCTCGAGACGGCATCCGAGATTACGTGGACATCATAACCTTTTTCCAGTATTCAAGACACGTTTGTAACACGCACACGTGAGTCTCCAAACCACAAAGAAGAACTGATTTACATTGTGGTAGATCAAATGTCAAATGATCTTCGACTTCGGGTATCAGCATGGAAAACTTCATCTTGTCAAAAATCTGGATGTTTTGTACGTCCTTGAGATTTTTTGAGATTTCAGATACGGTAGTGCCTAGACGGGAACTGTATTGTGTTGTTACGACCATTGGAATGTCCAAAAGCTTGGCTGCAGAGATCTGGATAATCGATAAAACATATTGTCAATAATCTATCTGGATTAAATCTATATATTATGTCAAAAATCGCGCGGATTTTTATCTTTTCAACGTACGGACCATAGTATTGGTGCCATGGATAACAGTTTGCATCTGGAACATCCGACTGCAAAATATTTCTTGTACGTCACATACAAAAAGAGCACTCGAGTGCGGCAATAGCCGCCCAAGACGTTTCGTTACGGAGCTTTGAGCTGCCATTTCGTCAAAATCGTTTCAGTTTCGATTGGAATCAATTCGATTTTGACAAAGAGAGACTGGATAATATACACAGCTTATGCTAGATTTTTTCAGATTTAGATTTATTTAAATTTTAGACAAATTACCCTTATATCGCAGTACTTACTTTAGACGCAGTGCTCGAATGAAGGGGTCAGTACCATCGTCAATAGCAAAACATTCGATCAACACGTCAATACCATCGACTCTATGTATTAAACGTCACTGGGGGACGATTCTTGCAACTTTATCTAAATTCTTAGACAAATGACCCTTATATCGACATACTGAGACGCGGTGCTTGGTCAAGTTGGGTGACAGGGGTATCAACTTTAAGTGCAGGAATGTCAGCTTTGGGTGCAGAGATGTCAGTTCCATTCACTGTGGGTACAGGGGTGTCAGCTTCAAGTGCATTGGTGTCAGCCATGGGTGCAGGGGTGTCAACCTTCTTGGTCACCTCAGGTACCACACCGTCCGATTGACCATATCCACCGTTGTTTTCCGCAGGGATATTTAGACTATTGACCGTTACGGGTGTTGTCGTCGTCTCGGAGACCAGAGTGGTCTCCTTACCGGTCAACGATGAGCCTGCAGTCGTCGTCTCTTGTGGTGTCGTATCACGTGATGGACAGAAAGTCACTTTGTAGTTCGTGTTGAACCGACACGAGTGGTTTTTGATGTCGTCCTTTGGGAAAGTGTACGCGTCCTCGCAGCCGTCAGTCAGACACGTGAGTTCACGGCAGTTTTTGCCGTTCGTGTTGGAAATGGGTGTGATCCGGATGGGAGTGTTGAAACCAGTGCCGCTCTTGGAGTGTTGCTTGCACTCGTCAAGGGTCTTGCAAGACTCAAAGCCGGGATCCAGATTCGGCGGGATGATGTTAAGGTTATACGAAACCTCGCGAAAGACGTTAGTAGTAGAAATCCCAATGAGCGTGGCAGCGTCGTCCGAACCGTTACGGAAGTAACCTTCGTAGCCCCTTCTAATGGTCTTGACGACCGAACCACCCGAGATGATTCTGTCAATTTCGTTCGTGGGGATGTTGAAGATGCTGGTGAGGTGAGTGTACAAGTCGATGTTGGTCGAACACTCGTTCATGAAAGTTATCTTGAAGAATGAGTGCTGGTGCAGTAATATGCTCCCGGTGGTGCCGACTGCGGCCGCTGCAATGAAAGGGAGCAGCATGGTTGATGAAGATGAAGAGGTGTTGTTGGTAGTGGGGAAGTTGATGAATGACATTGAGTTGCAGACGCTCAGAACTTCCATGCACGATTTTTTCAGCACCCACGTGGATAAACACAAACCTCTGATGCCAACATGCCCGATTGCGACAAATCTTTCTTGTGTTTGGCTCAATGTCTGAATCGACAGCTGTGACTTTGATTCCTTGACTTTCTACAGTCGATGGTATTGAAATGGTTGAACAACTGTTTGCAATCGACGATTGAAAGTCGAAGTGGCAGCATTTGTTCGTTTCCAGGGCGAAGTGACATGAGCCAACTGGAAGATGGTCTTGACTCGACGAATGTGATATTGACAAATTGCGCATACGCTCTATGGCCAAAGTGCAACTGTAACTCGTTGAGCTCGACAGAAATTCCGAGAGATTATGTGAACTTCCTAACCTTTTTTCTAGTAAATCAAAGTCACGTTTGCAATACGGACACGTATGTCTCAATACCACAAAAGAAGAACTGATTTACGCTGTGGCATATCAGTTGTCATATGATGTTCCGTCTCAGGTTCGAACATTGGGAACATCATCTCGTCAAAAGTCTGGATGTTTTGTACGTCCTTGAGATTTTTTGAAATTGCTGATACGGTAGTACCTAGACGGGAATTGTATTTACCATTGGAATGTTCATAAGCTTGGCTGCAAAGATCTGGATAATCGATAAAACATATTGTCAATAATCTATCTGAATTAAATCTATCTGGATGAAATCTATATAAGAGTCAAAAATCGCGTCCGTACGTTGAAAAGATAAAAATCCACGCGATTTTTGACTTTTTAACGTACGGACCATAGTATTGGTGCCATGGATAACAGTTTGCATCTGGAACATCCGACTGCGGAATATTTCTTGTACGTCACATACAAAAAGAGCGCTCGAGTGCGGCAATAGCCGCCCAAGACGCTTCGTCACGGAGCTTTGAGCTGCCATTTCTGTGACGAAGTACAAGAAGTCGTGTCTCTGATGTCATGTCCCTAAAGTGGGAGTGTGACATACGAAGTGCAAGATATCATGTCTCTAAAGTGGGAGTGTGACACACAAAGCGCAAGCTGTCATGTCCCTGATTCTAGTGTGACTCAGTATGATGCTGGGACGCATCGTATAGTTTGATTATGTGGTGGAGTGGATTCTTAAACAACGTAGGAGAACCACAAACACACACAGCACCGGACTGTCAACTTACGGAGGGGGTACTCCGATACCGTGTCGTGTCAACCTTGGGTCTTACCTTGTGTACCCGTCGGCTTGGCTGGTCTTGCTCCTCGGTTGACGCAGAAGACTTAAAGACTTTGGTCTTGGTATAAGACTTGGACTTGGTGGTCACCGAGTGGATATGCTTCACTCGGGACCGGGTTTCTTGTGCTCGATCGACTGAGTCGAGAGCAATGCACCTGGTACTATGTACCCCTTTGGTGGCTAACTATTCTTGGTACTTGGACCCCTTTGTGTTCTTACCCGTAGGGAAACCGCTTCCTGTAGCGGGTCGTCGAGTCTTAACACCTAAGGCCAACTATCCTGAGGTTCAACTTGCGTAGCTTGAGCCGTCTAACACCTGCTGACGTCGGGGGGCAAAAGGGTATCCCGCCCGGAAGATGTGAAGCGACGGAGAAGCGTAGAGGGGGCGCTTTAAGCTACCAAGTGTAATGCAAATTCGAGTGTGTTCATTTATCTTATTCTTTGTATGTTTTTCTTGCCTAACCCTAACCCTTCGCTCTAGAGGGTACCACGTGTCAGCTTGTGACAGAACAGCTGGCTCTTTTAGGACATGGGACTTGCACCGACTCTGCACTTTAGGGAAGCATTATATTTTCTATAACCTTGGGTCATCCTGGTCATCTGGGGTGCCGGGTACACCTCTGGTCATCCTGGTCAACTTTGATTTCTAGTCCACCTTGAGTCTTGGTCCACTTCGGGAACCTGGACTACCCTCGCGGCACTGGACTTTCGGGCTCTTGGATTTGTGCCGTCTTTTGCAATGTAGGTCGACCTTGTACCTTCTCTGACTCAGGACCCTGTACCACTTCGGGGTCTTGGTCACTCCCTGTCATTCATTCAAGAGAGTGACCGAGACCTTTCACGCCACTTATTATAATAATTGCGAAGGGCCTCCATTTCCCTGGCACTTCTTCCTAGCTGTCCCCTGCGCGCTGGTCTTCCGAAAATCGGCAGACCCCATGCATCCTTGTCCTGTCTCCTCGACGCAGCAGCAGGTGTATATGTGTTGCTGGTCATCCGCAAACAACTCACCCATCTTTTATTCGCCTGTGATCTCATCCGATTCCTTCTACGACGATCCCCCAGTAACTGGCTTTTGGTCTACCCCCGCGCTGCCTGGACCCAACCCTAGCCTGGTCGTTTCAAACGTAGACCTCATCGGAGACCCCGGTAACCCGTTGCCAACGTCCGGCACCTTCAGCATCGAAGAAACGCCTGAATACCCGTGTTCTTAGCTTTACTGAAGACGAGTCCAGCAGAAACGATGAGTCTCTGCTAGACGCGATAGCCTAGTTGCGTGCCTCCCGTCTCCGTTTTAGTCCGGCGGCTTCCGTGGGGGAACCTGGTTTGGAGGCGATAGACCTGTCCAGTGAATCCAAGCTCAGCCCTTCTCCCACATCGGCGGGGTCCACTTAGAAAACTAAAGCCTGGTCTTCCCTTAAAATTAGTGGGGCTACTGGGAAACCCAATTCTGGTCCTCCTCGAAAATCAGTGGGGTCTACTGGAAGATTTACGTCTGGACCGAGCTCCAGAGCCCAAGCATCACCTACCGCTCCTTCCAGCAGGGAAAAACACGTTCGACCCCTTCCGATCTATTCATCCAGCTCTTTGGCCACTCCGAGTCGGACACCGAAAGTCTCGACTCCAATGATCAGGAGGCGCCAGCATCCAAGGGTTCTGCTGGTT